GAATGCTAGCGATGCCATAGCATGTTCAGACAATGCTAACGTGTTTACGCCAAGCAGGTGTAAAGTCTGCCATGATCGCGACCTTAGTTGGCATGATAAGAGTTGTGTGAGGCTGAAGGGGAATGTCATCACCAGGCATTTGGTCACAAACCAAGTTTGACCCAATGAAAAATTCAGAGGATCACCAAAATGAATGCAGTTCAGGCTAAGGGAAGGCAGGAACATGAGCACAAACATTTCAGGGCAATCCATCCAACAGTTGTTGAGATGTTTCACTTCAACCCACAAACGTCCGCCTCGCGGCGGTGCTTGAAGGGAAAAGTCAGAAGATCGCCGAACTCATTGTGATTCATCATCTGGGAACCATGAACGTACAAAATGCCGTCGTTGAGATATTTCAGTCTGGAATGAATGACTTCCCAATGTTGGAATGGTTGTTTGAAATGTTTTTTAGAAGATCCGTCAAGTGCTTTGAAGCGTGTTGGGGCCTTTAGTGTCAGGGCAATACAGTAGAGGTGGCTGTTACAAATCCCTTTACTGATTTTAATCATACCGCTCACTTCGGTTCAAAGATCCGTACTCACTGACTGCGTAGCTACTGTAGTTCGTTCATTTTTTTCTCCAAACCTAAGTGATCGCATCACCACCGCGACATGACGGTACATCCGGTCGGTCGCTACTCTGAACTGTTGCGTTCAGTTCGGTACAAAACTAGACCTATGCAAGCACTGTGTTTCAGGATAACAGCTCAGCAGATAAGGATTTGATGAAGAATTATCGCTTCACTATAATTAATTTGTCTTTTCGTGGTCTCTCAATAATCTTTTGACAGGTAGCAGCACTACATGGTTTGTTTCAACAGTTGGAACGCTTGTACCATCGAGCTTCACAAAAAGTAAGTTCAGGTAAGTTTCAGTTGTGATGTGACATCTGAAAACGGAACTCAAGAAGTTTTAATATTCTGACGCGGTGACGTTGGTCACCGCGTCACTGTGGTCAAGCTTCCTACAAAACTGCAAATGTGGGGGTCTGGTTTGACCTGGGAAAGAGAACGGGCTGCGGGACCTGCTTATTGGCTGGGGGCCCCCAGATGGGGACAAAGGCTTTATGCTGGTGTCCAGACTTGTCCCGAACATCGCAAAATTAAAAGTAAAGAGAAAGGAAGGGCACGGTCTCTGCAGGTAAAGACACCGCCACAAACCTCCTGTGGGTTATGTGATGATTGAGAGGGATCAGTTTTGTAGTAGTCTTAGTCATTTTGTGTTTCTTTCTGGTCACCATCAGTATCTTTGTAGTTGCTTTTTTTGTCTTTTTGTAGTTGTTTTGGTCTCTGTAGTCATTTTGTATTACTTTGAGGTCATTTTGTGTTTCTTTGAAGTTGCTATGTGTCTATTTGTTGATGTTTTGGCCTCTTTGTAGTTATTTTGTGTTTCTTTGTGGTCGTTATCAGTCTCTTTAAAGTTGCTTTGTGTCTCTTTGCAGCTGTTTTGTTCTCTTTGTAGTCCTTTTGACTCTTTGCAGTCTTCTCATGTTTCTTTGTGGTCATTTTTGAGTATCTTCTACCCTAACCTGTAACCAAAGAGTATGTAGTTGTTATCCGAGATCGCCGTCTAGAGGTGAGCGTTCCACTTTTCATTGCACTACAGAGGGCACACTATATTAAATCAAAAGGCTAGGTGGGGATAGATGACCAAGGTTCTCACTCTCCTTTTACTTCCATGATATTCCACAATAGTTTTACACTTTATTTACACTTTCCAACTGTAGTTTTCAGCTGCACTTTACTTACTTTTTAAATATTGATTTGAAAAATAATACTTTCATGACCCTTTAATATTGGTGAGAGTAGTGGAGAATTTTGAAGATGATCTCATTGAAACAAATATGATTATCAATACATGTTTTCAAGGAAAAAAACAACACACACCATCAGCTGATCCGTATATATTACACATTTAATAATGACATACGTATAAAGTCCAAAGTTGAGGGGAAACATTTCTGCACATGCATACATACATGTACTGTTATTCCGATAAGGCACTGAGTCAGATTTAGGCAAACATGTGCAACCAAACAAAGGAAATCATTCTTATATGAATGTGCAAAAAAACAGGGTTAAACAAACACTCAATCACAGCTAAAAAAAGAACTGTTATTGCTTCAAAGATTTTGATTTAACCAACACCTAATCATTGAACAAGAACATATTTTTAAACATTTAAAAGTCTTTACATGCATAGATTGTTTTTAAAGACAACTACTTGAAGGCCTAAACTCTTTAAATATTTCTTACAGCTGTACAAGCAGCCGATAGTGGGATAATAGTAATAAACCTCGACAATTTACCGATCAAAGAAAAATATAAACAAATATAACAGTTTCACATCTTCCCCCATAACTGATAAATAAATAAAACAGCTCAGACGTCGGTTTGACCTTATTTTGTGTATTTTACCACTACAGAAAACACATTAATTTATGACTGAATTCTTGACATTTTAATGTCAATGCAGCCCTAAATATGAAAACATCTGTCCTCCAGAAATAAAAACATAACAAAATAAACTTTGAGTACAGGTAATGAAGCTGAAATTGTTTTTTAGCTTTATGGGTCTTCTGCAATTTCTTTTTCTCTGGAGGAAGATTTGTGACAGTTATTCACAACACATTTTTAAATACTGTAGTGCTTTAAAAATATATGTCCATCTATTATCTTTTTTTCCTCACCTGTGTAGTTTCCTTGCCTCCCTCCCACCGGGGATGTATAGAGACACGCAAGGAAACGACGCAGGTGAGGTGCAGCCATGCCTTTGGTGATCCCGAACTTTCTTCTAGTTCCACCAACAGGTAAAATGTCCACTAGTCAAACGCTTTTGTTCATGACAGGATGCTCTATCATGATGGAGATGCTAAGTTACGCATGTTAACAGGCTTTTATTTGCTTCAAGGTGTTACCTTGGGCAAGCTAGTGTATAATGTAGCATGCTAACTCGTCAAAATGTTAGCATTTTGTCATTCTCGACGTACATAATGTCAGTCTAATGATAATTGTTCATGTCTGTAATTTAGATTGCTTGGTGAAGTCTGAGCATTAAATTAGGGAAAAAATGTGTAGAGGGAATTTTACAAATGTTTGGATGAGTGATGTTAGCGTGCCAGCAGTTGCATTAGCGTATTCTGTTAGCATGTTCCAGCTAGCTTAACTGTAACATGCTAGCTTGCTAAATGTTTGCTTTGTTACAATCAGCTAAATGTCTGAATGTGGCTACTGGTGTGACGTATTTTCAGTAATTGGCACAGTGCCCCAAGCGCCCCTTAAAAGGTCCCCTGTGGAGATTTTTTGACCTCTAGTTTTTCAATGAGTGGGTCTCTAATTTGTTTCACATGGGTGACGCGATACACATTGCTGCCATTGGTTTGACGCTATTCTACTGAACTGCAGAGGCTGGTAATACACCAACGCTACAATACACTTTGTGCCTAGTCTGCCGGCAATTAGCTAAATGAAGAAGAAGAAATCAAAAGTATACAGACCGGGTCTATTCCTTGCTGTGTTCCGACGAACCCAAATTGCCCAAGATGTTTGATGCATTATGACATTTTAATTTGAAATATATTAACATTTTCAGACGTTGTGGACGAAGCCAAGTTGATGAAATGAGGAAAAAGGTATTTTCTGTTATGTCGGGGACGGATCAGAATACATTAGCACTTACACTTCAAAACATACGTATGGGGTCAGATAACCTCGACAAGTGGTTACACTTGTATTTAGAGCCGTCCACTTGTAATCCGATTGGCCCAAACACATTTTAAAACCAAGTGTAAACAGGGTCAATGAGCTAGAAAACTCCATACGACCCCTTTAAGACCACAAGTGTGTGGAGGTTTATCAGAGCTCATTGATACACTAATACATTAGTAAGGCCATATCATCACTCACCCAATGCTCAGATGATTTGCTGGAACGAATAAGTTTTAGGATCAAGCGATACAATTAATGAAGACATTAAATGCAGTTGTCTAAAGGCACATAGGTCCACTGAGACATAAAGGATATCAATGTGATGCCCTCTGTCTGATAAAAATTTTAAGGTTGGAGAATATCTTTCTAAATCTATGATCAAGGGATAAAGTATTTAATATTCATCTTGAGTATCAGATGTGCAATATTATTCTCATCAGTCTCGTCTAGAAGAACAGATTGTTACGTGAAACCGTATGTTCAGCCATAAATTTAGACAATAACATTTAGGCTGAACCCATCATGTCGTAAACTAAAACTTCGTCATGTGTGTTGATGATTGTCACTCCAAAAAAGTTAAAGGTTTTGGAAACTTTTCTGCGCCAGGAGTCGCACTGCTCGTCAATGTCGCACTTGGCCTGGGCAGCTAATCAAATCAAGCAAGAGACAAATTTGACTATTTTACCACTGACTTCCTGTTTTAATGCCAGTAGATGTGGAAGGCTAGCTAGCTGGTTAGCTGTTGTGCTGTGAGAGAGCTACGGGGTGAGAAGGAAGGGGGAGTTCATATCTTGTGTTGTGATAGTTTCATGTAGGCTACAGCTAGTGAGCTCATTATCCATTTTCTTTTCATGAAATGTTAAGGTACAGGGAGCGGGGCCATGTGCACAACAGATCATTATGTACACGGCATTGCTCCCTGACCTGTGTCTGTGTGTGATTGGCCCCTTAAGGTGGTGTTCTACAGCGCGGGGAACTTGCTTTTCGTCAAGCACGAAATGAAGGTCAAAAGCTGAAACCGAGCGAACGTTAGAGTGTAGTTGTGAGAAGTAAAATCCAAGGCTAGCGCCAATGAAAGGTTCGGTAGGTGTGGTGTCTTTGCTCTCTCTACAGGTAAACTACAGCTCACGCCGGCTCAAGTGTAGAGGGGCTTTCTCACAACGTTCTCTTCAGGAAGCTTTAGGAGTACAAAAAAATACCACAAACACCCAGTGAGATAGACGTGAGACAGACGTGAGACAAACGTGAAACACTAAACCTCCTCCGACACGCTGTGGATCGTCTCAATGATCTTCTTCTTCAGCTTCTTCACTTTGTCCGGCGGCGTCTCGTTCAGACACTCCTCCACGTACTTCAGGAAGCCTGCGTGCGGCGCCGCCGCCTGGCTTTGACAGAACGTCCTCATGATGTCCAGCACCTCGCCGGAGGGCGGCGGGAGGAGGCGGCCCGCCCGCTTGCGTCCTCCCGACACTCTGCTATCGGTGCGGGAGGACTGTGTGGAGGGGGAGGATGAGGGGGAGGAGTGTTGGGAGTCCGGGGGAGTGGGCGAGGGAGGAGTTTCCAGGCCCTGCGACGATGCCACGTTCAGTTGGGCGGCGGTTTGGTTGGTGCCGTGGTAGCGGCCGTCGAGGGCATGGCCGTCCAGGTGGAGGAGGCGGGGCTCCTGCGCTGCGTGGAAGTGGAGGTCTACGGGCCGCTCGTCCTCGTCGCAAGAGTCGCAGAGGAACATCAGCTCGCGGTAGTGTTTCCACTTCGGAAGGTAAAAGTCCTCCGAACCGCAGGTTTTGTTCGAGCTCACTGCCTTGTGTTCACGCTGGAAGATGGTTCGCAGGTTCCTGAACTTTGTCTTTATGTCTTCCACTGAAGAACGAAGAATTACAGAGACTGTCAGCCAAATGGTGTGAGGAATCACTTTCGTAACAACAATTTGAATCACTTCGTCAAACCTGAAACCAACCAAATCAAATGTGGCTCCCACTCTTGTTTTTCATTTGCTCTGGTACCGTTTCATCACATTTGTAAAATATGTATCTTGGTGTTTCAGTCAAAGTTATCCCTTTTGGCAAAACTATCACACAAAGAACCATCGCTGTTACCTGTGAATGGGGCCGACTCATTGTCAGAGAGGACGCCGCTCAGCGTCTCCAACAGGCTCTGTCTCAACAGCCTGTTCCTGTAGCTCTCGGACTTATGGTTCCACAGACAGCTGTGCTCTAGAAAAAGCACATCATGTTGAGTTAAACCAAAAAACCCACCTGGAAGAAAACATGAATACTTTTAGTCCTATATAGAACACGAGGTAGTGGTGCAACACAGCCTCTTGTGGCCGCAATAAGTATTGCAACAACAAACAAATGACACTGACTAAAATTTTTTTTTCTAAACTACCTGCAAAAATAGTTTTTTACACTTGTAAGAAAAGTTACTTAGGAAAACGATGCTGTTAAAATTGCATTTATTCAGCAGTTGGCTTCTATAGCTGTTCCTTCTTAACAGGTGAAACAGATCTAACAGGATCAACAATAAATGACGGCACCAACCAGAGTAAAACGATATGAGCTGCTGAACTTTGGCCTCGTTCCAGTGGCAGCGGGAGTCGGCGCTCAGTCTGCTGTCGGCCTGAACCGAACCGGAGAAATTTAGATGGGAGGGGTTTGTACAAGGTTTGGTGTCCGGCGGTGGCGAGGACGGAGAGGCGGCGAACGTGGCCGCAGCTGTTTGGCTCGCTAGTTTGAGGTCATTCGTAGACGCTGGGAGGAAGACTTGGTACGCGGCAGCGGCGTTGGCTTTGGCGTCGCCGGAGGGAGCGGAGGGGTTGCTGAACTTGATTTGGGCGGAGCCGGAGGAGAAGCCACTCAGGGCCGAGTAGGGTGTTTGGTTTCCGCGTTCCAGGTCCAGGTCTTCCCGGGGCGTCACTATCTGCACGTCGTCCGGGCTGTCGTCTTCGTCGCAGGACTCGCAGAGGAAGAGCAGGTGCTGGTAGTGTTTCCATTTGGACACGTGGAGTTTGTCAGACACCCTGCTGGCCTGCACCGCCTTGTATTCGCGGTTGAAAACTGTTCGGAGGTTCTTGAACTTGCACTTCATGTCTTCAACTGCAAAACAGCAACAAAGGATTCACATCTCCCGCTACTACTGGTTTCTCAAATGTATAATGTTGGTTATTCCTTCTACGAGATTCAACTAAGTTAAGCTAAGCTAGCTAAGTATATTTCCTATATCAACACTGAACAAACTCTGCTTTTCAGCCTCTTTTAGCTCATAGTTTTGGTTTTACAGCACATTCACTGAAGCGGAGCATTTAGCAGCTAAAGAGACGGATATTTTTTCTCAGGACTTGGTGGAGACCAAACCAGAGCTAAAGAAGGAGAGTGTGTTGGACTTAGGTTCATTAGGTGGACAGAAAGAAAACTCCAATGGACTGATAACGTTGCTCTGTGTCTGCTAGAGGTGGAAGTAGGCAGCAGTTTGCTAACATGTTAAGCATTATACCTAATGGTATGTCGACGCAGTGTTAAAGGGATAGTTTGGATTTTTGGAAGTGGTTGTATGAGGTGCTTCTCCATAGTCAGTGCAGTGCCTACAGTAGATAGAGCACAGCAATGTACTGCTTTAGACGGGGGCAGCAGCAAATCCTATTTTAGAAAACTTTTAAAAATCTATATCGATTCAAGTGTACACTATATTTATAATATTTTCACAGCTTTACTTTGCAGTCAGACGGGGAACCGAAGCCCTTATATCCATCTTTATTCTCCGTCAAAGACACAAGGCTCCATTGACAAAAAAAGTAATTTAACATTGCAGAACACAGTAGTTGCTGGTCTACTGCTGCCTCGATTGGTTAGTCTTTGGTGAATAATCCCAAATTATTCCTTTATCCCACCGGATCTTACTTTGGGGGACTGGGCCCTGATTGAGGGTCAAGGGATGGTTTGAGGGATGATAATAAAATGTGAAACATGGTCCAACATAAGATACAACCCGATCTGCCTAGAATTGCTCAATGTGCTGGTGTTGTACTTTGGACATGATATGTCGGGCTGTAGCCATGAAAACAAGCAGGACCGTGTGAGACGTACCTGAGAAAGACACCGAGTGGTCGGACAGCTGGCTCCTCAGAGCCTCCAGCAGCCTCAGTCTGAGCTGACGGTTGTTGTGGTTTTCGGACTTCTTCTTCCAGAGGCAGCTATGCTCTGTGACACAACCACACAACGACAACCCGTCAACCATGAATCTCTGCCATTGCAGGAATCCAAACCCTCATTAGAGCTTGTATCTCAATCCCTTTAGCAGTAACAACTGATCGCTCTGAATCTGGATCCAGGTTTTTTTGTTTTGTTTACCGGAGTAGAAAGCTATCAGTGCACGCTCCCTCTCTTCAGTCCAGTAACATTTCACCGGCGTGTTGGAGGGGACGCAGGAGGACGGGGAGGAGCTGGACAGGACGGGGAGGAGGGGGACGATCAGCCCCGGGGAGGAGACGACGGGCCGGCTCTCCTCCTGTGGAGCGGGCGGTGGCGAGGGTGAGGGCGGCTGGTCGTCGGGGCCGCCGTCCCGGTCCCAGCAGCCGCGCAGGAACATCAGCTGCTCGTAGTGCTTCCACTGCGGCACGAACACGTCATCCGACCGGCACACCTCGCTCGCCTTCACCATTTTGTACTGGCGCTGAAAGGTGGTGCGGAGGTTCTTGAACTTGTTCTTGATGTCTTCCACTGGAGAGAAAAAACGGAGGAGCGGATGCTTGTTTTCTAGCTCCTAGACAAAGTGCAGCTTGGTAGAATGACTGAATCTGACAACAGGCCTACCTGTGAGAGGAACGGGAGGAGGGTGAGCTGACAGAAGGAACCTCAGGCGTTCCAGGGTTTTCCACCGCAGCTGTCGGTTCTTGTAGCTCTCGGACTTGTGGTTCCACAGGCAGCCATGCACTGGGAAAATGAAAAAAAAAAAAAAGATACTCGAACGCTACATTATTGTATATATATATATATATACATACATACAGTATATACATTTTGTTTTGGTTTATCGTAGAAACTAGGAAAAGCACCGATACTGGAGCGGATATTGGGCTGATTCAGACTCAAATAGATGGATCGGGTATCGGTGACAATGGTTTAAAAAGTTTATATACATTATAACGTTGAATTGTTATTTGTTTAAATTTGGACAAATTTGTTCCTGCACTAAAAAGGTCTTGTAATTAATTAGTCGCTGGTGCGCCTTTTATTATTTTGATAATAAAACAACAATTCAGTAAATTTACATCTGTATATTTATTTGTGACATTTGTTTAACAAAGTTAAAAAAGCAATGTTTAATTAAGTCAAGCCTGATGTTGCCGTAACACATAAAATAATGATCTCAGCAACTTCCACACAGTGAGGCGTACATCTCATCAATCAAACAATGGTATCGGATCAGGACTTGGTATCGGGACTGATAATCAATATCGGTAGAAGAAACTCCTTCACGTTGTTCTGCCGCTGCAGCGATTTCTAACAATTCAAAGTTCTGACTGAAGGTCTCCACTTTCGGACCAGAAGTTCTGTCCCACTTTTTCTTTTCTAAGTTACTTAAAACATGAAATGCAATTTCAAAAATGTCTAAAAGAAACTGACACTCACATCACAATGTTTTCAGGTGGCAGATTGTTGCAGAGTGTGACTGATACTACGTGTGTATGAAGTGTTTATATATACACACATACAAATACAGTCCAATGTATTCTGTCTGGTAGCCACAGCAGGCTTTAGTCAGATGTATGAATGTTTTTATTAGTTTTTATTATCTTCCAAAATGGAAAATCTGTGAGAGCATCAGAAGTCATAACAAGGCAACAGAAAAACTATTGTATACAACATTAAAATGTATCCACTAACATAAGCAGTGTAATTTCAAAATATTAGTTGTCATACTTACATCTCACTTTAGGGTCAGAGCACAGTTAATATTAAAAAAAAAGAATGACCCCCCCCTTCCGCTCCATTTAACATTAAATATAATTGCAATCACAACATATTTTGCTATGTTATCTTTTCATATTCAGAGCTACAAAGCAAAACTTTAAATACGGAATCTAAACTCCGTTTTCTTCGTCTTCCTGTAGGAGAAAACACGCAAACTACACTTCAGTTGCTAGTCGCCATTGCTGTTATCTGTCTGCGTCGCTCGTTTCCGTCGGTCTCGTCGAGCAACGGTTGCCCCCAATTGTTGCAGTTTACGAAAACCCACCGATAAAAACGGCAACTTTTATGGAACGACAAGTTTCTATTTGAGAGTGTTTGACTTACTGGAGAAGAACGCTATGAGCGCCCTCTCTTTCTCCTCCGTCCAGTACCGCTCCGGTGTGAAGCTGAACGGAGACACCTCCATATTTGTTGTTGCCGTTCAATCCTCCTTCTATGCCGCCGGTACCAGGTCACATGACCCACACTCCAGGCTCTGATTGGACAGACGTCGCTGAGCACTAACCGTAGGCAATAACCTTCATTGCCCAGTAGAGGTCGCTGTCGAGTAGTGTTCGAACCCTCAGCTGCATGTCAACATACAGAAGGATTTAATTTAATTCAATTTCATTTGTAAATTAAAATTTTGAAAATATTTAGTAGCTGTTCTTGAGCTTTTGATAGTTTCAAGAATAAACTTAATATGTTGTGATTTTCAAGACTCAATCTTGAACGTAAATTCATTTGTAATAAACTTTTTTTTTCTGGATGCGGGGAACAACAACCCGCTAGATTTTTTAAATAAAAACTCGTCAAGCAGATGTCAAGTGTTGTTCTCTTTTAATTTCCAACAACCAACACCTGGCTGGTACACTTCCAGACAAGACAACGGACAAAGTGTATTTACAGTGAATCTCATGTACATTTCATGTCTTCACATGTACAAACATTTAATCCATGTACAATATTTACACTGTTGAGTCAGTCTCACTGCGGCTGGAATAACCAAGCGGGGTGGAGTCATCAGTTAAATAACTGCGAGTGTTCACATGCACACTAACACATTAGTACATTACTTGTTGGAGTATTTGCTCGTACAAACATCATACCTGCAGAAAACTCAACCCGGTTTACAAAGAAATAAACACTGGTCAAAGAAACAGTTGTACTGGTGAGAGAGCATTGGTGTAGACTTTGTCTTTATGGTCATTATGGACATCTTTAATTAATGATAGAGGTAATCAGATTAGATTAGAGAAACAATTAAAAAGCAGATGTGCTTACATTTTCAAAAAATACAAAAAACGAACAGTTTCTCTTTGTTTCTTCATCCTCATGTTTTAAATACGACCAAAGATAAAATAAGACTCACATACTAGTGTGCATGTAAACATACTCTGGTATGAAAAACACAAGAAAGGAACTTATTAGTTTGCCCCGGGGAATTGAACCCCCAACCCCTACTGCCTCAGCGCCACTGAGCTCCGCAGGACCCTCACATCAACCACAACAAAACAAGCCGACCCAACATCTCACTTCTATACAAACCGTGTAATATCATTCGCGTGTGCGTTTACATTTCAAGGTAATAAAGTAAAGAACTGTGCGCGCTCTGTGTCGGTTATATTCTGCTCAACTCTTCGGCGTTTCTCCCTGAATCCTCTCTAAAGCTCTCCTACAAATCTCCGTCTGATGCTTCAAGTATAAGTTCATCCGCAGGAACGTCACTGCTGTCGGGGGGGGAAAACCTCACGTGTGCAACAAAAGACCTGATTACATCCTCAGCACACAGATGACCAGCTGACCCGGAAGTGTAGCGGGGTCAGACGCCGTCATGGTGTCCTGCTGCCATCTTAGTGGCATCTCTAATCCTACATTCTGGAGAGCCACTAGATGGCAGCAGGACACCATGAAAAGCTGAGTGATGTGTGATACAACCAGTAGGTTATGGGATCACAATACTGGAGGATGCACACATTGTGCAAACTACACATGGTGACATTTAAAGTGCATTTAGAGAGCAACTTTGTGTCATAGTACCTCCAAATGTGGTGTGTACCATACAAAGCGCTCTCGTGCCCCACTCGGTACAGACGTTTGGTCAGCACCCCTGGGTGTCATGTTTAGGTTTAGGCAACAAAACTACTTGGTTAGGTTCACCAAAATGCTAGAACTATGTTTGTTAGGTAGTAGCGTACGTTTCGTACTTTATCAGGGCTGCAGCTAACAATTAATTTCACTGTCGATTCATTTCTTCATTTGTAGATTATTTTTTTTGGGGGGGGGGGGGGGGGGGGGGGGGGGGTCTATAATATGTCAGGAAATTGTGAAAATGTTGATCAGTGTTTCCAAAAGCCCAAGAGTCCATCCTCAACTGTCTTGCTTTGTGCAAAACTCAAAATTATCAGTTAACTGTCACAGAGGAAACGTTTCCCCCCCAAAAAAAATGACTCCAAATAATGAATCCATTGTCCCAATAGTTGGCGATTAATAGATGACAGCTGATAGATGCACTGGGAATGAGACCGGGCTGAAAATACAGGATTTTCATACATTTGGTGTCACAATGAAAATATTAAACATTGTCATTAAATATTGAAAAATGTACGACAGTGCCACTTAACATTACAGAAGTTATTGTTGGACTAAATCTGAGAATCTAGTTTCTTTCTAGTATCTAATTTGAAAATTTCAGATTATATTTTGAATTAAGAAATGATGAATAAAAACAAACTGTAGCCGTAAATCATGAGGCTCCAACACGTTGATGCTCAGATGGCTGAAGATAAAGTTGCAGCTGTGAGGTTCCTCCCACTGCCAGCAGCATTCATAAAGTGACTGATATCAAAAATAAAACGTGATACATGGTGAGTAGATGCAGGTTGAGTGAGATCAAAAATAAATAATGATCTGATCTGAGGTAGAGTGACAAAAAGGTGTGAAAGCGAAATCTACCCAGGGAGGTGTTCTGTTAGTCAAAGAAACATAAAGAGGAAACGTGAACATTGATACTGTGACGCGTTGGGTTTCATCAGCTCGTCACATTCACACCTTGTTAGCGATCGCTAGCTCTTAGCAGGTAGAGATACTGTACACTTAAAAAGAATAAAAATACCTTCACACCGCCAAAAAAAGAAAAGAAAACTGTAACAAAAACTTCTTCAAAAAAGATGTAATAAATAAAAAAAAGTATAAATCAACACTGATGTTTTTGGCTGCTGTAAATACGTTGCAGACATGTTTGATTTTTTACAATAACCGATAAGAAATAAACCACGGCATTAAAATACGGCTTCAATTTGATACAGCTGAAGGTAAAATTGTTTATCATTAAAAAAACAAAAAAAACAATCAACGGCTTACAGATGAACAATAACCCTTCCGTTAAAACCTCAAAAAATATTTCTCTGTCTCATCTTATGTGGGCGTGTCCCAAACCTGGACACACCCGTGATTGGTCCCTCCTCTTGTCAATCAAACTATGGTTTCCCCTTAAACCGCGCTGTCCCCTGTCGGCCCCCGTCCTCTTTCTGGCAGTCAAATCCTCGTCTTCGTCTCTTCTGTCAAATTGTAGGACGACATCTTTCTCCCTTGTGAAAGAAACATCCCCATTGGTCGCTCACAAAATGTTACATCCTCTGCTCCTGGTGGCTGAAGTAGCACCGCCTCCTGGCTACGAAAGCAAACGGCCATTGGAGCTTTCTTGCTGCCAATCGCCATCTTCTGACAAAAAAAAAGTACACCTAGTTCTGCCCTGCAGCAAAGAAAACGTGTCACTGGTTCAGCACGGAATGCCGATCGGTCGAGCCGCGATGGGAGGCCCCGCCCTCCATCAAACGACGCTGTCCTGCAGCAGCGGCTCGAAGTCCTCGTCGCTGGCGGAAGGCGGGGCCTCCTCGTCGCTGCCCGGGAGGGGCGTGTTAATGTGGACGCCAGCCAGCGAGGACATGGACTCTTTGCTGTCCAGCTGGGGCTTGTCGCCGAGGGACAGGTGGGAGGCGGAGGAGGAGAAGCGGGAGGGTTTCTCGGGGATGAAGAGGGCGACGATGAAGGCGAAGACCACGCTGCACGCCCCCAACACGAAGGGAGGGCCGGGGATGAGGCCTCGCTGAGAGAGAGAGAAACAAAGATCTGTTTTATTTCCCCTTTCATTTTCTCCAATCTGATCTGGAGCACAGCTGACTAAAGCAGATCGCAATTTTGCTCTTATTTTCTCCATTAAACATGCAAACTGAAGGTTTGTCGCTCATTCAGCAGACGAAGCTGCAGGACAAGGTGCAGACAATTAAAACATCTTCATGAATGAGAGGAAGACTAAGGGTCTGTGTCCACAAAGCACCTGTTTCTGAGCAGGAACTCGTTCTGGCCGTGTCCGTCTATCCTGAGCTCTACATTTAGGACATACGCTCTCACAACACAGACCAAGAAAGCCAATGTCGGAGCAGATCGGCCGGGCGGACATTGAATGTTGCTGGTAAGTGTTGTGCTGTTACCATCGTACGCCTTGTGTCACTTTGCTCTGACGTTACAGCTGTCAGAATGAGCGGTGACAAGCTCATCCATACGAGGTATGAAGCACGTCCTCCATTTGATGCTCACGGGAACAAAACTATAAACATACAGGTGCAATGTGGACACAGGGCCAAAGCAGGAAAGCTAATGTGAGTCAAATGAAACCATGAAACCAAAAAATATGAGATACACAGCACAGTAGGGAGGACAGAAGGACAACAACTAGAGATCTCAGAGTCGACAGACCTCCAGAACTATAGTCGGGCAGTTCACACACATTTACTGTTAATGTGTAAAACACCACTGCCTGTATACTTACATTGTTTCTGCTACATCCAGCACAATATGACTATTAGATCGACATTATAAAACTAGAACATTATTTACCACTTCGGCGTTACATCAGGAGACTCATTGATTTCCTTCCTGCACCATTCATTGGCTGCAGTGAGCTAACGCTAAAGCTACCATCGATAGACACGTCGGTCTTTAGGTTCATTTACGGTGCGTATATTCATTTAACGTGGCCGTTCAGAGTATTCATTGTAAACGTTTCAATTCAGTTGAGGCGTCATCTCATCTGCTCCTGCGATCGGCCTCTATAGAGACCACTCTCAAACTATTTAGAGCGAATATCAGCTAGAAAGGTTGTGAACCTCTGGTGCAGAGGGTTGGTGTGTACATCAGCGTGTACTATACCTCAGCGGGACTTTGCACTGGAAGGGGGTCCACGTTGAATTCTCCCTGGATGGGGTCCAGGGTGTTGAGCTCCACATTGAAGAGGAAGAAGATGAATCCGTACAAAGCCGGACCCAGACCGTTACACAGACCTCTGATCCCTGTGATCATGCCCTGGACCACACCTGCAGGGGGAGGACGGGGGTCGTCTTATTGGAGACATGCTGCTGCTGACATATCTCATATCATATATCTCATGATGTATTTAGCTGCCAGGGGATATATTTCATTGCCTGGTTTAGTAATACAAAGTTCCATCAGAGAAATCCATAATAACACACTGATCTATTGATCTGATGTGGGGAGGGGAGAGGAGAGGAGATGAGACAGAGGACAGGGTAGGAGACAGAGGAGAGCAGATATTTTCTTGTCACCTTGTTTATCAGGATCAGCAGACTGTGACACCAGAGCAGAGACAGCTGGGAAGGTGATGGAGGACATCGCTGCTACAGCACCAGCTGCCCAGATCATCCTGTTGACACACACACACACACACACACACACACACACACACACACACACACAGTTCAAAGTGTATATGTCTGATCTTTTTGTGATTTCGTCCATCTGACATCGGTTTGATATTTCTCATATACATTTTTTTTAGATAAATTGTGATTAATCTTTCGACAAAATATATTTTATGGCAATGTTGAATCGATTGACTGCTAAACCCCTCCCCCGAATGGAGATTGTCCAATCAGAGCTAACATTACTGTAGCCTGTCAAGAGTTCTCTCCATGCTGAATCCATGCACATGGATCTGCAGTTAGCTCCCGTACTGCAGTAGTAACTGTAACTAAGAGTTAGTACATCATCAACTAACTGAATGCTAGTGTAGGCTAGCGTTAGCTGCTAGCGTTAGCAGCTCTGTCCTGCTCTGTGCTGGATAACATCACCAAGACAGCGTAACATTTCATCCACAACGGTAAGTCCTGATCCTAAAAGGCATGCAACGTTCTGTTTGAAAATATACAAACTATGTAAGATAAGCAGCCGGACTGGGTTGTGTTAGAATGAAATATCATAGCTTCAGCCTCACTCTGTTAGCATATCAGCACTACGCAACCATTAAGCATACATTTAAGACTCAGTTTACAGAGCTCTTGTTTTAATACAAAAACTGTCCTAAACTGATTTATTACCTCAGTAAACATTGTAAACTCTAGTTTCAAGTCTTCTTCAATACAGCATTATGTTCGTTTAGTACATTATGGTCCATTTAGAGTCAAACTGACCATCAAGCAGAGTGTGCTTTAGGGCGGGCTTACTGTGATTGACAGGTTGCTGCTGCTACCAGAGACGTATACGGCGTCTCTACGTCACTCCTCCACAGACAAACATGTCAATCAACAAAAACATCAGTCTGATTATCCGGTCAGGGCCAATAAACAATGTTTAGGATATTAGGTATCTGTACTGATCACGTCAGATTCCTAACCATGTCCTCTATTTTAATATACAACTCTACTCGCTCTATTTGGCTTCTTGATGACATTAGAGTAGGGGGTTAGCATCCGATCTCACCATGGCTCTGATCCGAAGCCATACCAGGCCAGCTGGAGGATCTGGAAGCCCAACCCCAACAGAACGGTGTTTTTATTACCCAGAGTCCTCATCAGCAGTGTGAGGAGGAGAGTCTGAGGAGGGAGAGGCAGAGGAGCGGATTCTTACAAATAGTTTGTACAAGCCTTGTACTTATGTAAGAAACATGTCTAATTCATTACAAAGTAGTAAAAGCTGCTAGTATGAGCATGTGATGACACTTTTCATATAAGCGGTTTGTCACATATTATATATTCATCTAAAACATTCGGATCACACGTCCTTCATGTGTTTGTGTAAAATCAACAACTAGCTAAACAGTCTTTCTGTTATCTAAACTGCTAACGTGCAGAGTTATTCTTCTTTTGCATGTATTGCAGGAAACTGAAGACAGATGCTAGTAGAATTGTAATGAGATGAATGAAGACACATACTTTATATCGGTACATGTAAGTAAAGTTGTATAAAATGACATCTAAATTAAGTCCAGATTTGTGACACTAGAAATGCCGAGCGTGAATTGGGTTTATCCTCTTCATGCTCTGCAGTGTGTGTGTGTGTGTGTGTGTGTTACCTGTGCTACGATGGACAGAATGCCCACCACTCCAATAAACACAGCGATGGTGGTGGAGGAGAAGTTTATGACCTGGAGGGACAGACAGACAGACAGACATTTGTTTATTTGCTACTTTCTAAAGAGCCCATTGTTAACCTTACTTCACGCACACAAAGACACAACGTTAAACTCTTTCTGCCATACATACGGACATTTCAGCGTATGTGTAAAGGACGTTCATAAAAGGCTTGGCCGGCATGCACCAGTGCAATGTGGATTTCGAACGACATGCAACTTGCAGGTCTGAGCTTTACCAGGGCTTTCAACCAGAATTATCAAAACTAATGGAAAGATTATTTAACAAAATGTTACGGTTGTCCACCACAGCAGAGCTGTTTTTCACATTGAGGGAGTTTTGCTGTTGAAAAGTTGTATTAAAGTGTGTACACTGATGTAGCCCACCTATTCAATTCAAATTTAGTTCAGGATCTTGAGATTATACTCCTGTTGCATGGGAGCTGAATTGGAGAGGGTCTACGAAAATATAGAATTTAGGAATGTGCCTACAATATCAATTTAAACGAATATACATCTGTCTAATGTGCAGAGAGGCCTGGTTAGCTTAATACAGCTATACTGTCCTATGAGTTCAAACTCCCATGCATTCCTATGTAGCCCTGACATACATTACTTCCACAAATGGATATTTAACAGTCAACATTTATTTTAACATCAACATTGTGACCCACAGAAACATACAATATAACACAATAATAATACCAAGGATGTGATAGTCCGTGTGACAGTACGTTGGCGCGCTTGTTGGAGCTCAGTTGAAATCCTGAAGGAACAGCTGTGGTGTAGCTACTCACTGTTCCTCGGTTACTCAGACTTGATTTCTTAACCTTGCAAACAGGCTAGTGCTTTGAAATCCTCTTCTGCTCCGTCAGTTGAAGTCACGAGCAGAAAACTACCATGAAAAGCAGCACACTTAATTCCTCTTCAGAGCCGCACCGTTACTCCACGAACATCCGCGTTGAGCCCTTAGCACGACTGTCCTCTCCGCCTTCTCGTCTCCCCGAAAAGAAAACCTCACTACAGTTAGAGCTTCCTGTTAAACACTTCTATACTATCTTTTCAGTTCTCTACTATGTATTCACATTGTCCAGTGTCCGTGTTTCTGACGTTAACAACAGTGCACCATGTCATTCCTCTCCGCTCTCTGTTTTTTTTCTTCGCGCGTCCCGGTCCTTAGTCCCGCCCCCTTGAGAACGCGGTAGGTTACCCCAGAGTCTCATCAGATTCTTCTGATTGGCTGGCAACACATTTCACACCTGACCAACCAATACTATAAGGATAGGAGAGGTTCAAGGGCAACTCGAACTGTTGGACACATAAGTACTTTTCCAAACTATGAACACAAATGCAAAAGTACTGTTTTATAGACATTTAAAAAAAACATGTAAACAAATTAGCAGGGCGCTACACTGAGATAAAAAACTGTCCTTACCAGGCAACTTTCTTATGTTTAAGTTTAATAACGTATTAAGTCGAGTAAGTATTTGACATACCTTAGTTTAGTTCAAATTAAAACTATTGTTGATGTTATGTCCCAATAATTGGTGCAAACAAATAGCGCAAGTGCCACAAAAATCTTTTAATTTCACACTTATTGACTTTAAAAAGCAGTTGTACTAACAACAGCATTAATATGGTTAGTACTTGCAGTAATCCTAGTGTTCTTAAGAAAACACTGCATTAGGCAGCAGAGTGTCTCACCTGTCTCAGGTAGAGGAAGAAGCTGGAGTACTGTCCGGCCTCCGGCAGGTAAGACAGGAACACAGTGATGCAGATCAGTAAGACTGTCGGGTCCTGACCCACCTTCCTAAGAGACTGAAGGAGAGAGAGACAGGAAATACAACACAGCTACTGTTAGTTAATACTGAAAGAGTCAAGGTTACAGTCTGTGGAATGAAATCTGACTCACATCCACTATATCATTTTAAAACACAACAAATCAACCAATCAGATACTGTATTGTAAGTTGTTGGTTACTGACGGTGAAGGGATCAGCCTGCTCCCAGGATATGGGCGCCCCCCAGGTGTTGAGCCTCATCTTGTCCGGCAGAGACTCGGGCACGGCCAGCAGGATGAAGCAGATGTCGGCCAGGGCGACCAGCGTGGCCACCAGGACCACGAGGTTGTCCCCGTACCAGGCCGACAGGTACGCCCCGATGGCCGGACTCGTTACCAGGCTGGCCGCGAATGTAGCTGACACCTAGGGGTCAAGGGGGGGGGTTGGGGAAACGGAGGGGGACGGAGACAGAGAGAGACGATGGATGTTAAATGCCGGAAAAACACAGTAAAGGCTGCACTTCATTTGTTGAAGCCAAATTTTAGCGTTTTTTTCTGTGACGTAGACAGAGCTCCATATCATTACAGTCATTACAATAACGACAGAGGTTATGAAACCCGTCTAATGTGATCAAGTTCGTAAACACATTGTCTAACCTTGTCAATCAAAAAAGAGTTTAAATAGCCAAGCTAGCAGCTATAAGGCAGTGCTTTGAGCTAAATGCTCATGTCAGAATGCTAATACGCTTGTATGTCAACGGGGGTTAGGACTTATGTTCCCTCGAAGAAATGTTCAAATGTTCTGATGTTTAGCAGGTATAATGTTTAGCATGTTAAGTTTAGCGTGCTACAGTAGCATGCTAACATTTGCTAATCGGCAACGAACACAAAGGCGAACACAAACACACTACTGACGAAGAAGGTATGCAGTGTACAGTACACCGCCTCCTGCGTTGGTCTGCAGTGAAAATGAAAAATGAAACTGTTAAATCAGTTTTTTTGCAGCGTGCAGGCTTTAGCCTTTAAACAGGCTTTTAAAGCACTGGACAAAAACAGGCTCATCTTTTAAGATGTATACATCTAGTTTGACAACACACCACACAGGAGCCCTTACCAGGCCGTAGGCTGTGCTCCTCTCTCTTTCATCCGTCACATCGGCAACGTAGGCGAAGATGACGGAGAAGGTGACAGAGAAGGCTCCGGACATGGAGATCATGGCGAAGTACCACCTACAGAGAGGGTCAGAGAGAAACGCTTAACAGTGCAAGAACTTGTACTTCTGCACCAACTTTTACACCTCAGCCAGAAAAGAAAGGGTTCCCCCAGTGTGGAGGAACTTCACTGGCCTGCACAGAATAACTTGACCTCTACCTCATCCAACCCCTTTGGGATGAACTGTGAACTGTCTTTCTTTTGGTTTACATTCATATATCACCACCTTAAAATGTTTTTTTAATCCTTAAACAAAATCCTTAATTTGAATAAAGTGATTCATCTGATTAAATTATCTTTAGTCATTTTAAATTAAAGGAGCCGTGTGTAGGATTCAGGTGTTTACACACTAAAACGAAAACATAGCTATCAATAATATATTCCTTTTAAATTCTACACTCAGTTGCTTTAAATCAACTTGAATAAATTAATCTAACTCTGCCGTCGCCATCTTGGTTTTTTGCAACCGGAACTGAAACGAGAGGGCGGAGCTAAGTACAACCGAATGCTGAATAAGATATTTTTTAGACGACAAAAATGTCCTGAACTGAAAACAAACACACTGTGAAAGGGTTAAAGTCCGAAGATGAAAACGCTGTGGCAGCAACCTGTCAATCACAGTAAGCCCGCCCTCAAGCATACTCTGCTTTATGGTCTGTTTGACTCTAAATGGACCATAATTTACTAAATGAACATCATGCTGTATTGAAGAAGACTTGAAACTAGAGATTGAGACCATAAACTCATGCTTACAATGTTTACTGAGGTAATAAATCAAGAGAGAAGTAGAGTCATTCTCTCATTGACTTCTATACAACCAGAGGAGTCGCCCCCTGATGGCCATTAGAAAGAACGCAAGTTAAAGTCACTTCCTCATTAGAACTCTGATGTCCAAGTTCATAACACACCTCTATGGCTCTCCATGTGTCTCCCTTTGACTTCACAGCTCTACTGTACCTCTATCTCACTCTGACATTGATCATGATTGTGGGTCCTACCAGGGGCTGAGCCTCATCAGAGGGATCGGAGCGCAGGTGAAGAAGACGGTGACCAAGAGGAAGGTCCGCCTGCCCCACACGTCCGACAACGCACCGATCAGAGGAGCAGACATGAAGGACAGAAGACCCTTGACATGGAGAGGCGGAGTCAGTGGCAAAGTAAACAATCATCGCCAGCTGAAGTGTCTCTAAAGTTCTCTTTTAAAATGTATCGGTATCTATAGTATGAGTAAGTGTTGAAGTTCTTACCTTCACGCCCTGAATGAGGCCGTTCATCAGGAATGTGTGCTGGGGAAACGTTTCGTGTAAAACCTACGAAGAGAAGCCACAACAACGATGATCACTAAAACTAGCAGATTTCACAGTTAAAGCAAAAAAAAAAAGAAACTGCTATCCTCCTGTGGGTTCAGTGCAGTGACACCCCCAACTCCAGACTAAAGTTACCTCTGTACCTGTGGCTGCATGCACTATGGATGACTATCAGCGACAGTCTGTTATACCTGGACGAATCAGTTACTATGATAAAGGCACTGTACTCAAAAAGCACCATAAACAAAGTCCTGGTTAAATCAGGAAATATCTGGATCACCAAAACCAAAATCTCACCAAACATCATTCATACCCAGATCTACTTTTAAGCTCAATGCAGACCTCCCCCCCTTCACCACACAGTGGTACTCACAGTGAGCATGGGCGTGGTGAGCAATCCCCAGGCGAAGAACTCCAGGAAGATCACCACCACGGCGTGATACACACTGGGCCTGCCGATGCCCTGCTGGAGCTGAAACACACACAGACACATTTCAACTAAAGGGCCACTCCACCTATTTTGCACACGACGGTCAGTTTATCATCATGGTTTCAGTCATTCGTCTGGATGTACTACTTTATTTTTTTGCAAAAAAATAAAAAATCCTCCTGATGACATCACAATGACATCCTAACGGTTCCCTCGGCTTGGACCTGGAAACTACAAAGTGACAACAGAAAGCCCGCTGAGTGGGAGGACTTTAAAAGACGCGGTTGTTTCCATGCAGCCTAAAGAAAGGTGGTATCAGACTGAATTATGGGTATTGTAGGATGTGCATGAATTGTTTTATTAATCCTTGTTATAGATCAAAAAAAACAACACACAATGTCAGTCGCTGAAACACCCCGTCCTCTTGTTGTCTCAAAACTTTCAATTCTTTTGTCAAAAAGCATAAAAAGCGAAATACTGTCATCGTCGCTAGGGCTTGGGCCATTGCTGACCAGTGAGAATATGACTCAGACTTAATGTGCATTGTAGCTGGGCGGAATATTAATGAGCACAACATTTTTACTAGGAATTATATATTGGACCCAGCGTTGTATGGCTTTAACGGGCAGTGTCATTCAGAAATCAAACCCAGATAACTAACAAGCAAACTTCGATATTGTGAAAGGGTTAGACTCAACATTCATTCATTTTCAAGCAAAAGATCATTGTTTAAACAAGAGTCTAATCAACACACAGAAGAACATATAAAAACATGCAGATTTTAACCTTTGCATAATGCCACTATATTAAGGTTTACAGGCAATTGTTAGCAGGTTAGGAAATAAACACATTTTCTAACAGTTAAACATTTTGGCTGATTGAAATAGTATAAAAGTGGAGCGCCACACAGGAAATGATTGTCAGCGTACCGACATGGATACACAGGATTCAGGTGGTCATGTGGATATTTACTATCTTTAGCCTGAATAATTACAGCTTCCACTAACTGTGATATTTTAGATAATGAGTTATTCTTTGCCGCTCTCCTGTTGAGAGGAAGTCCATTAGTGGGATGAAGATCTCCGTTATATCTTGAGTTTCTGGTTGCCTTTGATACCTCAACACAGCTGATACCTTTTATTTATTTAAATTTAAAAAACATTACAATACAATGACTTGTCTAAATAATCCTGATATAACGAAAATGGTGAATGATGGATCTCCTTCTGTGAACAAAAGAACAGCAAGTGATGTATTGACTTCGGTGATCCCATGATTTACATACCTGAAGTTACCCTGGAGGCTATGACGTAGCTGAAGTTACCCTGTACGTTGTGACGTAGCTGAGGTTATGTTGGAGGCTATGACGTAGCTGACGTTACGTTGGAGGCTATGACGTAGCTAATGTTACCCTGTAGGCTATGACGTAGCTCATGTTACCCTGTAGGCTATGACGTAGCTGGCGTTACCCTGGAGGCTATGACGTAGCTGACGTTGCCCTGTAGGCTCTGACGTAGCTGATGTTACGTTGTAGGCTCTGACGTAGCTAATGTTAACCTGGAGGCTATGACATAGCTGATGTTACCCTGTAAGCTGACGTAGCTGACGTTGCCCTGTAGGCTCTGACGTAGCTGAGGTTACCCTGTAGCCTCTGACGTAGCTGATGTTATGTTGTAGGCTATGACGTAGCTGATGTTACCCTGTAGGCTATGACGTAGCTGATGTTACCCTGTAGGCTATGACGTAGCTGACGTTACCCTGGAGGCTATGACGTAGCTGATGTTACCCTGTAGGCTATGACGTAGCTGACGTTACCTTGGAGGCTATGACGTAGCTGAGGATATGTTGGAGGCTATGACGTAGCTGACTTTACCCTGGAGGCTATGACGTAGCTGAGGTTACCCTGTAGCCTATTACGTAGCTGATGTTACCCTCTATGCTATGACGTAGCTGACTTTACCCTGTAAGCTATGACGTAGCTGACGTTACCCTGGAGGCTATGACGTAGCTGATGTTATCCTGTAGGCGCTGACGTCGCTGATGTTACCCTGTAGGCTATGACGTAGCTGACGTTACCCTGTAGGCTCTGACATAGCAGAGGTTACCCTGTAGGCTATGACGTAGCTGACATTACCCTGTAGGCTCTGACGTAGCTGATGTTACCCTGGAGGCTATGACGTAGCTGACGTTACCCTGTAGGCTCTGACGTAGCTGATGTTACCCTGTAGGCTATGACATAGCTGATGTTACCCTGTAGGCTATGACGTAGCTGAGGTTACCCTGTAGGCTATGACATAGCTGATGTTACCCTGTAGGCTATGACGTAGCTGAGGTTACCCCCCCAATTTAATTAAAAACTATTCATATATTTCTATTACAATAGAAAAATAAATCTGTAAATCTTTGCTTTTCAGAAGTGCAGGGAATTTTAATGCAATTGTTTTGCATAAAAAATATTTCAATGATTATCAATGATTCAATTTGATCTGATGTGATTTAAAATATATATACAATAAATAAACAATCACTACTACTGTATATGTTTCAGCTCTACCTGGTGTATATTTAGACTATAGTCCATTTTGAATTCAGGGTAGTATAATATTAGGCCTCTTTATGTTTTATAATCTTATTTCTTGCCTTGCTGCAACTAACAAATATTTTCATTCATTCATTTTTCCAATGGATCCATTATTGTTCAATCAATGCAAAGCCTGGAAATGTAAAAGAAAAAAAAGAGAGAAAAAAAGCCAATCAGGATGTCTCCTGTTATATTAAAAATTATATCAAAAAGCAGCAAGAACCACACACTGTTTTTGCCAGACGTGGTAACAACACAACATGCCATATTTGAGACACAATGCCATTTTAATACTAAGTGTCTGTTTAAGTTAAATGCAAACTACGTTTTTCTTAATTTATTGTTTTATGGGTGGTGTTAAAATAATGAAATTGTTGTCATGGACGCTGACGGAGCCGTGGAGGCTGGGGAGGGTTTGGATGAGGCCTCGCTGTATCTCAGGCTGTTACGTAACAGATAACGGATCCATCCTGACCATCATCCTCACACTAAGCTGAGCTGTCTGTGGACCACATTAAACCCGCGCGCACACACACGCACGCACGCACGCACACACACACACACACACACACACACACACACACACACACACACACACACGCACACACTTATCTCCATCCTACTAAACACAGCCATTTTGGACCCGAGCTGCTCGGTTCGGCTCATATTCTCTGTAGTGTTCCATTCATTTGATCATCTCCAACATTGTGTCTAGTAACCGTCAATATAGATTATTTTTGGGGCTGTTTCGAGCATCTTAATGTGAAGTGATGCTATTTATGGTTATTTGTGTTGTCTGCTTTTTAAATGACCACTGAATTTATAAAGGAGCCATACGTCATATGTTTTAACATATGTTATGTCATACGCACACTGACCGTTTTTGTTGCTGTTTTTTAACATAAATTACAGCCTATTCTAAATGTATGGACATAATAACAGGCTACAGAATTATAATATATATATATATATATATATATATATATATATATATATATATATAACATCTCCTGGATTAATGTAGGATAAACTATTAGTACAGGTTGATGGGTAATTAATATAATATGAATAAAATGCCGGTTCATATCCACCCACCGGAGCTCCGTCCTTCATGATGATCTTCTTAACGAGCACCACCCGCCCGGTTCCCGCCGGCTGCTCCCCCGGCATCTCTTCACACCTGCCGCGGGTCACGAAGCATCCATGACGCGTAGATATCCGCGGTTCTCCGGGTTCTTCCAGGGTTCGTCCTTATGTAGCCCCGAAGAGGCTAAACCGAGCTAACGGTAGATAAGAGTAATATTAACCGTGTTGAGATGGCGTTATTGTCCACAATGTCTCGCTTTAGATCCGCCGACAGGTCAGTCCGCAGTTCGCCTGTACGCGCTCACTCACACGATCAAGTTGGACACAAACATGACAGTGTTTCCGGTTTGTGTTCAGCGTCTTTTCAAATTAAAAGCGCCATTTGTTTTATCTATCTTATTTTGACCAAATTCCAGATTAATAAAATCCAAATTTGCAATCAAGAGGCCAACATTTTCCAAGCATTTCTAAAATTGAATATAGCCTACCTAATTTGCAGTTTCCCTCAATATGTCTCTGTGGCAACTGACTCTGTGGAAGAGCAATCACCTAAAGCAGTGGTTCTCAAACTTTTTCTGTCACGCCCCACTTTGGAGGAAGAAAAATGTTCATGCCCCACCACCCCAACAAAATTGTAACAAAATGGTCCATGTTGAACTTTTATTGAAATAACAACATTTTGACTCCTCCATCTGTGCTTTTTCAAATAATAGAATAAAGAAAATTGCAATCACTTTCAAGTAAACCAGATTGCTCCATCAGACAAAAACAAATGCAATGTGCAATCGCTTTGTTAGAACAATGCAAATAAAGTTCAATCTGTGCAAAAAATAACTAATATTTGGCAGAAAATAGGTTATTGTGGCAGCAATTCACCTGTTTTGCACTGAATATCTTTCTAAGATAATAATAATAAAGTGCAACCTGTGAAAAACTAAACAAAACAAGTTCAAATATTTAGCAATAAAGAGTTTTACTGAGTTTTACTGCATATCTTTTCAAAACAACGATAACGTGCAACCTGTGCAAAACTAAACAAAATGAGTGCAGATATGTGTGAGCCATATGCTCACACATATCTGCAGGAAGCTGTACTCACGTCTGTTTAGACCTCCACCTTTATCCAGGCCCACCTCCACCTTTATCCAGGCCCAGCTCCACTCACAGCTCAGCCCTGCGTCAAGCTGCGCTACAGCCAGCCTCCTCTCCCTGAAGCTCTTTGACCTCATCATCTCATCAGTATCATCCTCATTCTACTTTGAGTTAAAACAAACAACCTGCAACCAGATGCGCCGGTGTTCTGGTTTAACGTTAACGAAACGTTGCATGTTTCATCACGTTACGTTTTTTCCTACTAAATCTTGACGATGATGAACGTTAACAGTCGACAAAGTTCCGCATGCAGTGGACGTTAACTTAACCCAGCAAGTCTGAACGGTAACGGAACATGACGTAACTTAAACTGTAACGGAGGGAAATGAAGACGCTGTAGACATCTGAACGCTGATTGGCAAAGACTCAACACGTCACATCAAAGATGTTTTATTGCGAAGATCACGTCATCACCTTTTCTCCTCGTCTCACTCCAATCTGAGAAACGCTGGCTGGCCAGCTGACCCCCCCCCCCAAAAAAACAACCTCTAGGGATCTACACGATTCACGTGGATGATATATTTTGATTCAAAACTGCGAATTATTTCGCCGAGAAGCGACAAGTTTGCAGGTATGAATAAAGTTCTTGAAATTAAAAAAATCTGCATTTCCCCCTGCGCCCCACCTGCAATACCGCCGCGCCCCACTAGAGGGGCGCGCCCCACAGTTTGAGAACCACTGGCCTAAAGTAACCTTAATAAATGATAAATCTACCCCTGAAACTTTATCAGAATCTAAATCAAGTTGCTTACTATCCTAAGTTAATAGATTGTAATGTATTAAGGGATTTTAAATATTTTTTATGAACACATTAACGGGTTTGTAAAGACTAAAAGTACAAGTTACAGGTTACATCACAGGTAGAAATGTGTTGTGTATATATGTTGTGTATATGGTCCAAAATTCAGGGATTTATTTATATTCACTAACTAGAATCGTAAGTGTTACGCAACTAATCGACTACTACCTGATAACTAATGTAGTATTAACCTCATCCTTCGTTTCCCCCTCTTTTCTTAACATTAATATTTATTTTGAAAGTCAAATCGCTCTACTTCCTGTCTCACCGACTGCAAATGTGGTCCGGTTGGATTGCTCCGAGTTTTTTAAGACCTGAACTGGTTCTTGGCCTAGACGTTACAGAAAACATACACGTGCAGGGTGCGTTTGATTTATAAACCCCGAGAACATGAATAGTATAGATAAGGTCAATTAACGGAATGACAACACGAAGGAGTCTGTAGGTAGCATCATTTGGACCAGGAGCACCGGGGATCGGCTCGGTATCTCAAAATGGGCAGACAGAACGAGTACCAGACCGGAAATAAGATATTGCCCTCACAATAAAAGTGCTACGTAAAAAAATATGCCTAAAGTACCCCTTTCTTTTGGGACTGAATTCATTTTTTTACTATAACAAATATTAACCCTATTAAAACACGCCATTCAATCATATCAAGTATATTACCATTACTCTAAAAATGTGTGTTTACGAAATTGTCAAACTATGTTTTTTACTTTGAAAAATAAACTGTATTCCGATTGGTTTGACAGTGGCACACGGAACTTAACAGACCGTGTATATCACGTGTCGGCGGCTGAGGTTGTTGGTTGCATGAGCGTGCGCGTGTATATGAATAAAACATGATAAAAAAAGAGTGGTGACGGTGGGGAACGTGACCAGTCGACTTACATCATCAATAGGCAGAGAATCAGACGCTGAATGAGACGTTTTAGAGATCAGCGTTTGATTCTAGAAACATTTCAGTTTCCAGATTCAGTTTATTGACAATAAGAATAATATAATGATGTCACCTTTTTTGTAAACCTCTGCTTAATCCATATGAGGTCACAGGAGAGGCAAGCAAGCAGTGGAAATGAAAACAAGGTCATATATGTTTTTAAAGGTCTGGGTGGGAAATAAAGCCCCTGCTATTTACATTTACAGTGCCTCGCGCTACCCAGTGAGAACAATGGATACTAATACGCTAATAATAATGATAGTATTAATAATAATAGGTTTAACGTGCTGTGAATAGTGAGACAGCCATATGAGCTGTAATAAAAGCCTCAGAGGCAGGCAGTAATGAGCTGTGATCACATTTGAATAAACAAGTCAGATGTGAGACAGTGTCAACAGAGATGAGAGCATCACGGTGTCCACAGTCCACATGAGATGGATAGGCTAAGTAGGGGAGAAGGGTCTAACCGCTTATCCTGTTGGGGGGGGGGCTGAAGCTGATCCCAGCTGACATTCACACCTATGGGCTATTTAGAGCCATCAATAAACCTCTAGGCTGCATCTCTTTGGACTGAGGAAGGAAGCCAGAGAACCCCAGAGAGAACCCCACACTGACACAGGGAAGGCCCGTCTAGCCCGGGAATCGAACCCCGGCCCCACTTGCTGTGCAACCATAACAGCCACTAGACCGCCATGGATTCAAAACTTTTAATCTATTATAAACTTCTGCTTTACAGCACAGCAGCTTTAAAATCCTGAACTATTATAAAACTGATTCTATCATTGTTAGTTTCTGCTACTAGCCCACTTATCATATATAGGCTACATTATATCATGCTACACGTGTAGGCCTAATGTGGTACTACGTGAAGCTGATAATGCATATGTACTTTTACTGTGAATACATTCTTTTTATTCTGTCAAAGCAACAACGACAGCAACCAAGATTGATTTTCCTCTTTTCTCAGTGTTCTCACTCCGTCCTATTAAATGCTGACCTGCTCCGGTGTGTTTCGGACGCGTTGCTGGGCAACAGGGCACCTGCAGAGGAGAGTGTATATTGTTACCTGTAAGCTGACACTCAGAGACAGAGACAGCTGTCGGACTGTGGTCTGACACTCACCTGTGGCTCAGAGCGGCTTCAATGAAACAAAGACAGCAACAAAACCAAGAAGTCAAACCAACAAGATGGCTTTAGCCAGCGGTCACTGGCTGGAGAAAGAGGTGAGGGGAGAAGCCCCAAGTCCCAGGTGGGTCTCTTGATTTTTAAAGTGTATGGCAGTCTAATAATAGACTGCTGATTCATCCACTCTGCTGGATGGTTTTGAGCCATGTGATGACATAAACTCATTTAAGGCTTTAAGTGGAGTGGTGTCGAGATGAAACTGAAAGATGTTTTTTGGGTGGTTTGCTCATTGTTAGATTGACACCTTTGTGTTGTCCAATGTGTGGTGACACAGACATGGCCATGCTTTAGCTGTGGCAGGAAACGTCGCCTTTCTGTCCGGAGGAGCCTCCAGCATCGACCAAGAGGTGACTGTTTCATTTTATGTTTTTAATTCAAGGAGATGTCACAAACAGCAGCCTGTTTTACATTTAAGAACAAAACATGGTCGAATCATGGAATGTGGATGGTGATGGTCTGCTACATTTCTTCTCATTTATTTAGGAGGACGTCACTGTTTACTTCAGCGACTTCTACATGCTAACAGGTACAAATGAAGATGTAGGTAGATGGAACGGAACACAGAACATACACAGAACATGGAACAGAACACGGAACACGGAACAGAACACAGAACAGAACACGGAACACACATATAACACACATAACACACACACAGAACACAAACAGAACACAGAACACGGAACACAAACACGGAACACGGAACAGAACACAGAACAGGGAACGGAACACACACAGAACATAAACAGAACACAGGACATGGAATGGAACATGTAACGGAACACACAACACAAAACACACACAGAATACGGAACACACAGAATATATAACAAACACAGAAGAACACAGAACACGGAACAGAACACAGAAAAGAACACAGAACAGAACACAGAACAGAACACGGAACAGAAGAGAGTAGCTATGCAATGAGATAATAAGCTACTGGGAACATATTTAGAATACATGTAGTGTATTTATGAAAAATAATTAAATGATAAAAGCTATAACTTTGTGATTCTGTCTCGGCCAGCAGAGACGGTCTTGGTGGCCCTGACGCCACTACTGGTGTAACGTACTTGGCAATAAACGGTTCTGGTTCTGATTCTTGCCAGGAACACTGTTGTTGTTATGAAGCTGAGCTGCTGTGACTGAAAACAAAAGAACTAATGACCAGAGATTTTGTTGTTGTTTGTAGTTTCTCCTGATGATGTGTCGTGGGAGGAGATTCCTCAGAGCGGAGAAGTTCCCTCAGCCAGATCAGGACACACTCTTTGGTAAACTCCAGCACTGACTAGCTTGCAGGACTGAGCAGCAGTACTGTACAGCAGAGACCATCTATTGTCATAGCTTCATCTTCTTTCCTCCTCAGTGTTGTGAAAGGAAAGCTGTACCTGTTTGGAGGAGCGTCCAGCCCCGACGCCACCGAGTGTCTCCCGGGAGTCTTCAGCTTTGATATAGGTGAGGACGTCACAGCATGTGGAGACAAAGAGGAAACACGTCCAGCTCGGTCTGTGCTCATGCTTTATGTTTGTTGTTGCTTCAGTGTTATATTCAAATAAAGCCTAACAGCAATGTGACGGTATTACCACTTTAAAACAGTGTCTCTGACTTGGGATTGCTTATCAGTCGGGGGCGTGGCCCTCAGAACCCTCAGACACAGCGCTGCTGCCGTGGGAGACAACATCTACGTGTACGGAGGCATTCTGGGAGGGAATCCAACCGACGACCTCATGGTCTTCAACACAGGTCCATACATCATCATCCTCATCTTCATTAAGGGGCCGTACTTCTGTTTGTTAATGTTTTTTACCCATGGATGTATAAAGAGAACTGTGTGAGTGTGTTTTCTCTCTGCTCTGTTTCAGCGTCTCTCACCTGGACGCCGGTAAAAACTAGCGGATCGCTGCCTCCTGCCCTGTAAGACGCTTATTAATAGTTTCACTGAGGGAGGATTCATGACAGGAATGTTTTATTGGATAATATGACAATGCTCTGGGGTTTTAACGTCGTATCAACGCTGACACACACTGACGATAACTTTAGCATTTGTGTGTTTCTTGTATGTGTGTAGGTGGGGTCAGAGTTTTGCTCTGGTGGGAGATCAGGTGTTCATGTCCGGAGGTTATGAAGCAGGTGGAGACTTCTGTAAAGACCTCCATGTTCTCAACACAGGTAATAAACTCTGATTCAGAAACATATAGAAACAAAAATCGGAGGGATTGTCGGGTGTTTTGTATTAGTTCAGGTCGCACTTCATCTGCCAGTTATAACTAAAGTGTATTCTAAACGTCTCAGGATTATACTTCCAAGTACAAATGCATTTGACTTGAAATCAATATTGATAATAAAATCTATACAGTATATTTTAAAAGTAGAATTTAAATGGAATATAATATATATTGTAATGAATGATGTGATTTTACGTCAATGTAGTCAGTCCTGGACTTCCATACAGAGTGTATTTCTTTAAAGGTTGTACACACCCTGACATTAAACAGTCTGACTTGAGGTCTCCACAGATCATAGACTCACCTTTGAGTTATACCCGTTTGTTTTTTAGAGAACTTACAGTGGCTGAAGTGGGAGGTGAAGGGAGAATCACCGGCAGCCTGCAGCGGACAAACACTGACTGCACACCATGATAAAGTACACACACACACACACACACACGCGCACACACACACACACACACACACACACACCCACACACACACACACACACACACACACACACACACACACACACAGGTGCATTGTAGTTACAATACATTTTACTGGTAATACAGCAGTGCTTTCAGACAGCAAGGTGAGGGAGGGCGGCTGCGACCGCATTCGCAGTTCATGTCAGTTAAACTTTCTTAAGCTTGTCGCCATGGTTAAACTACAGCGAGGGAAAGGGTTCAGGAGCTGATTGAACTGGTGTCTGAGCTTCCTGAATGGTTCACCTCTTCAGAGCGGTCAGATCAAGAATTCAGAGAGGAAGACATCTCGTATACGTACATCAATATAAGTAGCTCCCATTGATGGATTCTGTCTTCATTGTTGGTGTTTGTTTTGATTATGATGAATGTAATTCTTCACTATGTTTAATCCCATGGAGGACATCTACCTGTTTGGCGGCAAAAGCACAAATGAGGACGGCACGGTGACGCCTTCCAATGAAATCCATAAACTCAGTATCTGTGAGTGAGACGCCGACGAATGACAACAGGAGTTATTCTAAAGAAAGTCAAAGGATTGAGTTATGCTCTTTTCATATATTTCACGTGGTTTCCCTCCAGCTAAGATGAAGTGGAAGGTCCCTCTGTACATTGGAATTCCTCCGGCCCGACGCCACGGACACAGCGCCTTCATCCTCCACAGCCGCGTCAGTGTGCCGCTAATTATTTTAAAAGTTGCATCATTTGTTCCATTGTCACATCTTATAATATAAAACTTTTTTTGTCTTCTGGTTGACAGCTGTATGTGTTTGGAGGGAAGAATGAGGAGCAGGAGTTTAATGACCTGAAAGTGATGAAACTCATCAACCCGTCAGAGAGACAACCAGGTACATTAATCATATAAACTTTCATACCTTGTACTTTAAACAAGCCAGAATTCAACTTTTAACGTAACTCGAATTTATCGTAGCTATTGGGAACACAGCACAGGGGGATTGCAGTTCAAGTATATGGCCACAAGAAGCCAATATTTCCACCATTTTTCCATCCCTGCTGATCATTTTCCTTCTTTATCCATGCCCAACACAGGTTTTCATCGATATACTGTACATACAGAATAGGTGCTGGATAGAGGAACGGTCATGGGATCATTCAAATGAAAGGGTTCATCCTCTGAGGGGCAGAAACAGACCACGAAAGGCCATTTTAATCCGGATAATAGATTTTGGTGTAGAAGAATAGTACGAATGGGAGAACGTCACACACTTTTGGACCGCAACAACATTTTTAAGTAGTTGTATGGGCCTCGCATTGTGAAGATGTGAAAACTCTTTCTCCACAGTGATGAAGGAGATTCTGTCAGAGTTCGGTCTGCAGGGAGTCAGCCACAGGTCAGCAGCTGCTGTACACACCGGTGTTTGAGTTTCATCCTTGGTGTAGTGTGTGTCTGCAGTTTCAGAGCTCGTGTCACGCTCTGTCTGAGTTTCATCTCTCAGTTTTAACACCGTGGTTTCATTCTGGTTTTGACTGTTAACAGCTTCACCCCCACAAAGGTTCCCAACGTTCGCTACGAGCTGAGCGAGTCTGCTCCGTTCAACCAGTCCAGGAACACAGCGGCTAATGCACAGGTGAAGACGTCAATGAATTTATTGAGGTTACCACATTTAAAAAAATGATTAACAGTAAAGATTTTCTTTTTTGCAACAGCATCCTGTATGCAAGTTGTCAAATCAGTGGCATTGTAAAGGTGGTGAAGTGACTGCGTGGATAAGATTTATGGGTCAAAAACTTAATTTAGCCAGGATCCCAAAAAGGCTGTGACGAGGAGGAGTAGACGTTAAAGTAGGAGCAGTATCAGTAGTAATAGTAAAGGTACTTTCACACAGCAAGTTGCTACGGCTGCATCTGTGGCCTGACAACACAATTGTTCTGCTATTCTAGTCTCATCACATCACCACAAAGAGAGGATTATAGTAGTTTAAAGTAGAGAACTGTTAGCAACATGCTCTTTATGCTAACATCGGTAGTGGTACTTAGATAGTAGATGTAGCAATAGCAGCAGTAGTACCAGCAGCGGTAGTAGCAGTAGTTGTGGAAGCATTAGTTGTAGCAGCAGTGTAGCAGTAGTAGCATTGTCAGTAGAAGTAGTAACATTACTGATTGTAGCAGTAGAACCTGTAGTAGCAGTAGTAGTAGTTCCTATACTGTCTGCTCACACTGATAATATCACAGGTAATGTAATGTTTCCTTCTGCAGGCGTTTGTCCACAGAGAATTCAGTGCAGTTCGAGATCAGGCCATGAAAATGATCCAGACAGCCTTCACTCTCCTGGACCAGGAGTTCCAGAAACTGGATCGGTATATCTACATCTCTGTGTTTACCTTTGTTTAGTTCGTTTTGATTTATATTTCATTATTATTTAAACAATTTAAACAAAAAAATATACATATTAATACATTTTGCATATTTACATCAGACCATAAATGTCAATACAAGTAAAAAATAATGTTTCACACACAGGTATACCTTCAGTAGAAAACTGATACAGTTGCGGTCACTTTGAAGAGATCATCTGGTTGACTGATTCATTGATTTACTTGAATGGATTTCTTCACGGCTGAGTTTCTTTTTCCCAGAGAGAGGTCAGAGTTGTCTCAAGCTGCTGCTACTCTGCAAAGAGAGAAAGAAGCTCATGAAGGTGGCAGACAACAACAGCAACAGGTATCATTTCCATGATATGCATGTCAGCATGCTAAATTAGGAACACAGAGCATCTGAACATACGTTTTGTGTGTGTATGTGTTTGTGTGTGTGTGTGATTGTGTGTCAGGAGCTGCAGGAGATGCTGGACAGACATCGCTCTCAGAATGAGGCGTGGCTCCGAGCGAAAGCCGAGGAGAACGACCGAGAGAGGAGGGAGCTCTGCAGACTTAGAGTCAGTAAGCACACAGCACCTCACATCAGCCTCTTCTCCATTTCCTGTTGTATAGACTTTCTGTCTGGTTGCTGCTCTGTACATAAAAGTCCTCAGGAGGGTTTCTTTACTGGGGAGTTAACCTGCAAACCACATCCCCCACCCAGCCCCTTTTATTTTTTGGTCATGTGGATCTTCTTTAAGTTCTTCTACTTCTTTAAAATGATCAAGACACAAACTTTTTGGGGGGTAAAACAACACAGTGCAAGACCTCTAAGAAACTATTTTGGGGATTATGATGTTTGGGAGTATTGCGTTTAAATGAACTCCCTCCTCTATCTGTCTGTCCGATGGGTCCTCAGGAGGAGGTGCTGCAGGAGCAGGAGAGGCTGAAGGAGGAGCAGAACAGCATCCAGAAACGCAGCGAGCACCTTCTGTCCATCATGCAGCAGTTCAAAGGAATGTGAGACAGACAGACAGACAGACAGATAGACTGACAGACAAACTGATAGATAGATAGATGGATAGATAGATCGTCTTGTCCCTTTGGCTTTCATTTCTTGGACCCTGTTGTTCTGACGAGGATTACTGACAAAGGTCAGTAATCCTTTGTCAGTGGAAAAAAACCTTGATTTAACGCTCCTTCAATAATAATATGTAATATGTAAAAAAAAAAGAGAGAATGTTAAAAGTTTGTATCTTGTATTGTTAAGTGTGCAACAGCTGGTCATAACACTGTCATAGAAAACAACATTTGACTAATTGATTCAGAAGTCAGACTGCCATAATAAACACTGAATTACAAAGCTCAGATGGTGTAAATGAGTCATTTAGCATCACAGCTCTGACAGGAGGAATTAAATAACAAAATGTTGCCTTAACTATCAGACAGAATGTATCATAACTTATTTTGTTACAGAAATGTTACAGTTGTCATTTCTGATTGTCTCTATATCTATCTGTCTGTCTGTCTGTACTGTATCCATCTACCTGTCTCTCTCTCTCTGTCTGTCTCCTCCACTGTCGCATTCAACAGCAGGGCGGATCACTATTAAGCAGGGAAAAACAGTATAATGCGCCAGTCGGTGTTCTTGTATTTCCTCTCGGTTGCACTATCTGGCAGAGCGAGGCAGGGGCGGGGAGAGAGAGTGAAGAGCATCACTTCGCAGCAATATGACCGGAAGTGAGGTGATAAAAAAAATAAGAGCTGATTAATTGATCTCATATTATAACCTAATCCAAGTCTTTCTTACCTCTTCCACATTCATTGTCAGTTTTTCTCAGCATTCGCTTTTAATGTGTTTATAGCCCTTATTTGCTCAATGTTTATTTATCTTAACTGTCGATTCAGCTTTTATATTATTTCCAGTCAAAGAAGTTGGCAATGGATTGATGTGAAATACAATTCACAAAAAGCATTTGTTTACATTGACAAATCATTTTCAAACATTAAATAAATTAGATGAATTTTTAATTAATTTAAACTGAGTGTGCATGAAATAAAATGTGATCTGAAAAGTGAAACAGGAAAAGGGGAAGAAATAGAAGAAAACTATTACATATTTCTTAATAATAGGTTACATATGCATTATGTTATTGTGTCATTCAGAAAATAAAAATCGTGTAGTTTTAGTGGTACTGAGTTATTTAGAAATTATATATAAATATATAAGCGGCCCACACATACAATATATTTCTGGATTATTGCATGACATTAAAAACCCTTGGTTGCTGATGTTATTTGTCATTATTCTACAATTCAAGGTCAGTGGCTCGATATTGTAGTTTTAAATGGTGTTTTAATTGTGCTTGGCCCGAGATGATAGCCCCACACTCTAAATGTCAAATGTCCCGGGTGTGGGAAAGCAACAATACACATGTCCGAAGCCTTTAGCAATTACAGTGGATTTAATGCCACATGGAACTAATTGCCTGTTGCTCCACTGCAATTTGATTTGCTAAATGCCAAGTGTTGTTGTTGTCATTTGCAAGATCAGAATTTCAGGATGACCAAACATGAAAGCAGTAAGATAACGAGGTAAAAAGCCCTGTAAAGAGCACAGCTACCCAAGTTGGCACCTCATACTAATGGAGAATTGAAGAGACCAGGTATGCTAACCCAGATTATTTCATTTATTAAACTAGGAACTGGTAAAAAAATGCATTATGTCAAATTATAAAATTGTGTAATTTTTCTGGTTTTGCATCTGTCCAAAGTAGTTACTGCCCCACAAATGTTACCTCTAAAATACCACTAGACAGGCTGGTTGTTTGTTAACATAAAAATATGGCATTTACCTGCCTCCAGGTTTTGTGCTAAGCTAGGCTAATCACACCAAAGACTGGATACACAGATATACAACTGACACTGAAGAAGACAGCGGACGATTTCCGGTAGTATTCCTGTCGCTAAATGTAGCTAACATTAGGGGACATACGGTTCCAGCTACCTTTTTAAATTAAATTTTATTCAATACATTTGTGACATGCACTTTCATATCTAGTCAAAGCCTAGTCTCAGTCCCTGGCGCTTTTATTGTGAAAGGCTGAACCGGACGTCTTGCGTTTCCTCTGGTACACCTTAACTTTCCGCGGTGAGATGGCTGTGGAGTCTCTCTGCTGGTTCCTGAGAAGTCGAAACGGGCTCTGTGGACAAACAGCAGGAGGCGAGAAAACCCGCCGCAGTTCGCTTCGAACTCCATTTTTTAAAAATAACAACGGTAAGACAGAAACAAATATGCACCTGTCTCTCTTTAGCTAGCTAGTCAGCCCTCAGGTGAACAGCCAAAAGCAACACACACTGAGCGCTCGTTTTATCGCTGGTGTTCTCCCTTCGACGGTTGGTCTGGCGGGGGAGGGGCGGGGGAAGTAGCGGCAGACAGCGAGAGACCGAGCCCGGTCTGCTGCTGTCTCTCCGTCTGGAATATTTCTGCCTTTTGCCGCAGAAATCCTGCCGGACAGTCCCTGCGATGTCCACTTTTCTGAGGCCCATTATCCGCCCCCTTTCCCCAGATCTGGGGCTGTAAATAATTGTTATAAAAAGGCGAGCAACATGGCTGACATACTGGCCCTGCAGAAACTGCTCGGTCGTTTGTCAGTGAGGATTATTACTGAATATATAAATTATTTGTTTACTTAGCCAGTCAGCAAAGTGGTAGTCGAACTAGCAACCTGCTCCTTACTGGCAGATGAAATAAAGCAAACACGTGGCTAAAACTGCTGTCATTGGAGAATGAAAGCAGTAAAAACCTTCATTTTAAACATAGGGTTTGGTTTGGCACAGCTTTTCACAGATGCGTTTGCTGCATTTATTTTTAAATTCCCATGCATTGAATGAAGTAACAACAGCGTGAACAGTGCTGTGATTTTCATGTTGAAGTTGCTGAAAGCTGATTTGAATGCTCCAGTCTGGTGACGGCCACGCCCCCTTTACCAACTCGTAACCAAATGAAATCAAAGGTCAGCTGCAGCCTGATGGTGCAACTACAGCTCCAGCAGGCCTACCGACCGGCTGATGCTCATCTCAACTGAAGATCAGAGTAGTGAAAGGTTACAGTGGTGTTGTTTTGTCTGTTTGTTTGTCTACTTGCGGTACCCAAAACTGTATGATTCCAATATATCTGTAATACATCTGTCTTCCTACAGCATATAGGTGAGCTATATTCTCTTTTAAAGACACAGTTCACCCAAATCACAATAAAATCATGCTATCCCTCGAACACAGTTTGGGTTTTTATTTAACATTTGCATTAACTGAACATCAAAGTGTTTTTTTTTTTTACAGCTTTGGCATATTTGCTGAAGTAAAAGATGATTCTCAGGACCAGTGAGGGATGCTCCCATAGAAAAATCAAGTATCGGGTCTGATACTGTCGTCATGTACTTGCACACTACTCCGATACAACCTCACCCAATACCACTACGGCAACGTGGCCGTTAACCTCTCGTCAGTTGGGCCTAATAAAACGTTGCAACGACATCCCGATGCACAAACGGGTTGAATCCATCATTTATCTTCAGCTGCAGTGGATGTGCAAGACAGGAAGTCCCCACTAAGTCTCCCATCACTAGTCATGTGACAGTCGGAGGGCAGCCAAAGGCTATTCTTCAGTAGCAAAACATTTTTCTATGGTTACAGCTCTTTTAGTGTAGCATGGATGCTATCAAAACATGTTTCCAATGTTATAGCTCAGTTAAAGTTTCACATGGATACTAGCTAAAAACATTTCTACAGTTACAGCTCTGCTACATTGTAGCATGTACGCTACCCACAAATGTTTCCAAGGTTACTGCTCTGCTACAGTGTTGCAGAGCTGGTGATGAAATAATCAAATTATTGAGATTGAGATGAGGCTTTTGTTTGTATTGAAAAAAGTCAAAGTTTCAACCTGGCCATAACTCAAAGAACACAGCCCGGTGTGCAAACACCGAGTTAGCACTTCAAAGTCTAGCTTTTTAAATACAGAAACCAAATAAAATGAAACCATGAGTTTTTGGCAAGTTGGGAGTTAAAGTACTAGAACTAGTCTTAAAAAACAAGACCACTCCAGCTTTATTGTCCTTGTTGAATCACGGTGCTGAAGTCTGAACGTTTTAACAGTTTGGGCAGTGCTAGGAGTTGATAACATCCAGATGTTTTAGGGGGGACCAGAGAGAAATGTAATTTTTTTAGTGTGCGTGTGTGTGTGTGTGTGTGTGTGTGTGTGTGTGTGCACAAAGAACAATGTCGTTTTTGCTCCCAGTGTCGGACTCTCCGGTTTCAGTCCATTTGAAGTAGCGTCTTGGACAGAGTGAGTCGGGCATTGCGCTGCCCCTCATGACAACAGGCTAATCATGTGTTGCCCAGGGCAACAGGAGGGAAATCAACACCAGCTGCAGCCAAATGCTGCAAAATGTCTGTTGTTTCTGAGCCTGTTTGAGTTTTCAATGTGTGCTCTGATAAAACGTTCATATTTCACACATTGTTTAAAAGCATAAAATGATGAAGCAATGACATTTTGGACAGACGTGGATGTAAACTCAACTCGACTGGTTGGCGAAGACATGCAACCGAAAGGCAGTTAATCTTGCCTCTCCGCACATGTTGGAGCTTCACACCAGCTCTCTGAGCGTCTCCATCGCTCTGTTGTCATCACGTTGATAAGTTATTAAACTTCATGACAGGTGCTCGTATATGAGGTCGTGTATATATGTCAATGGTATAACCAATAATATGGAAGTTTAACTTATTTTACTGGCATTGTTCACTGAGAGCCACAGTCCTGCTTTCAGATCAATCGTCTTTGAATGTGGTTGAGTGGTTGACTTTGTATTTTTTCTGTCACAGGTTTGGTTCGGCAGATGGGCCGGAAAACTTAAAAGCTGGAAACCTGCTGAACATCAGCGCTCCTGAATACTGGAGACAGGGTAAATACTGCTAAACCTGCACTGATTGTTTAGTGCACGTGAGCGTGCCCCTCTGGCTAGCTCATGCCCGCCGCTCTGCACTGTTAAGAGAAGTATACTGGCATGTTAATGTTGGCAGAACATGGTAACATGCAGCATTTAGCATTTTAACATGCTAATTATTGTGAAAAAGACAGACACAGATGCAGCAGACACAACTTTCTTCATGTGTCTATTTTCGTTTTTACACAGTATCTGCTAAAGCTGCTTCCAGTATTTACGCCAAGCTAATAAGAAGATTGTAATGCAGAGTTCCCAGCATGCAGCTCCAGACACATCATCATCATCATCATCAAGACATGGTGACATTTAATACCAAGCTGAATGTTTGTGACCAGTTAATCATGACTGGGTAGAAACAGTCGAGGTGACGTAGAATGATGAGGCAGCAGTTTGACAGACATGACACGAGGTCTGTTCTTGATGTTGTTGTTGTTCCTGCTTTTCACCAGTAGATGTCAGTGAAGGCTATAGCAGGAGAGTAGATTGGATCCATGAACAGACATCTTTTGTGACTAGAAGTCATTGTGTTATTCCTCACATTAGATAACGTGCTCTCTGTCCTCTCCTCCTCCTGTTGAAGCCCTGGACAGGTTTGTGTTGTAGCTGTGTGGCCGGGCAGCCTGGCTGCCTCCCTGCCTCCAGATGAATGAAGAGCACTCCGGGACACAGAGACACAGCTGATGCAGGTCAGAGGTCATTTCACCAGCAGGGCACACACAGTTATTACATTCAACTTGCAGACACCACATGGTCGTAGTATTGGTTTTCTGACAGATTTCCATTAGATTTAGTTTGTTTGTCTGAAGTCAAGTTGAAGTCAACTTGCAGAGTTGAAAGTCGCTGCATTGAGATAATCCACCACAGTCTGTGTTTAGTCAACTGTTATTTTGACGTTGAAGATGGGTTATCATCACGTGGGGATGTAGACTGAGAGGATGGAGTGGTCGGTTCAACAGAAGCATTTTCAATGCAATAAATGACCAAATTCCCACGATCCTTTTCACCATGCCCATGTTTGAATACAGCCTCTGTTCACAACTACTGACTTTCCCCTTTATTTGAATATTTCTGAAAATGGTCAGCAGCAGTAAAATAAATTATGCAGGATCCCTAGTAAATAGGCTAGACCAGAAACCATCCTTTAAATCTTAGCAGGAAGTTGTAATTTGAATTGACAAATGTGCTGTGATGTTATTTTTCTCCTCAGGGCATGCAAGTGTTTCTGCAAACATGATGAAGAAGAAGAATCCTCATAAGTGAGTTAAGAGGGTTTGCAGCTCGTGTGTCTTTGTTATAGCCAAAATAATTGGAGTCAAAGGGAACGTAATATGAGTTAATTAGGGAATTCTATAGATGCACCTCAAAGTGCAAACAATAAACGCAAATCCGATGACGTTGACTATGTTGTTTCATGCCTCCTGGCAGGAAACACAAGAGCAGTCTGGGGCCGACCACCAAAGTTCTGTCGCAGCCTCAACGCAACGTCGTCGGCTGCAGGATCCAACACGTGTGGAAGGAAGGAGGAGGACACGTAGTCTGGAAAGGATTGGTGCTCGACCAGGTAAGCTGACGGGACTCTGTACCGGCATACACAACTGCTGAGGTCAGCATCCAGGCTGCTACGTTGCCATCTGCCTCCAACACACAAAACTATCATTGTTAAAGCAAACGTACCGACTTGTAATATTGTGTGTAAAGACACACGAAAACAACAGAAATCAATGTTTTAAATGCATGCGTCCACCAGGTGCCAGTGAACCCGTCGCTCTATCTGGTAAAGTACGATGGTTTCGACTGCGTTTATGGTCTGGAGCTCCATAAAGACGAGAGGGTTCAGGGACTGGAGGTGCTCCCGGACAGACTGGGTAAGACTGAACTGAGAACAGGATCACGCTGAACACAGTGGTGATAGAAGGCTGCTCATTTAGTTTACTAGTTTTCGGAAGAAAGTCTTTATTTTTACTCGTTTGCAACTTTTGCAACTATTTTGAACATTTTCTACGAACAAAAATGTAAAAAAACTCACATATCTAATCGCACATAGCCCACTGATCTGCAAAAGTTTGTCGCCAAAACATAACATGCTAACATTAGCATGATAGTGCAATATTGTTTAGTGTAGTGGCATGTTAGTGTTCGCAGAACATGCTAATATGTAGCAGGTCATTGTAACATGCTAATGTTTCATACATTGTATATCAGTATTGGCATACCATGCTAACATTTAGCATGGAATTATGATATGCTATTGTTTAATTTAGTATAGTACAGTGCTAATTTTGGCAGAAAGTAATATGCTAACACTCAGCATGTTAGTGTAATATGCTAATGTTTAGTTTATTATAGTAGAGTGCTAATTTTGGCAGAACCTGCTAACATTAGGCTTCTTAGTGTAAAATTCTAATGCTGGCAGATCATAACACGCTAATACACTAAGCAAGTGTCCTATGCTAAAAAGTTATATATGCTTCAATTCCTAATGTTACATACTAAAAGTCAGCATTAACATTCATGAGATGTTAACATGCCTGATCATGTTACTATTGGCGTGTTGGCATACTAATGGTAGCACTTTAGCATGCTAAGATTAGCATTTAGCTCAAAGTCCAGCTTAGACTGATGGAAGTTGAGCCAAGTCATCAGTGTAAAGCTGTCTGACAAAGTGAGTCTCAAAAGGCCACTATACACCCATGGTAAGGATAAATAGACATCTAGTCTCTCCATTTTCTATCCATTCTGTTTGTTTTCTTTTTTGTAATGTGGATTTTTTAAAGATGTTTTGTGTACCTTTATTCAGTCAGCAGAGAGAGGGGTCTGATATGCAGCACAGGTTCCCAGGCAGATTTGAACCGGTGATTTGAATTTATTTTAATCCCTGCAGCTAAATCCCGTCTAACAGATGTCAACCTAGCGGACACCATGATCGGTAAAGCTGTGGAGCACATGTTTGAGACGGAGGAGGGTCCAAAAGAGGAGTGGAGGGGGATGGTGCTGGCCCGGGCTCCCATCATGACCACCTGGTTCTACATAACCTACGAGAAAGACCCGGTCCTCTACATGTACCAGCTGCTGGACGACTACAAAGAGGGAGACCTCCGCATCATGCCCGACTCAAGTGAGTGAAGTCCTCTTGTTCAACTTTGGTTTAAACAGGTGGCGATTTTAAAGAGGAACCTACCTGAGATGTAATTAAATCCAGATATCTATTGTAGCCATATCGCTCAGCCCTGTGATTGGAAAGTAAATATTTATAAACCTATAAAATGAAACATTGTTTATACATTTAAAAATATTTTTTCTATAATTTCATCATTATTACTTCTCATGATTTGTATTTTTTAATACATATTTTATGAATTTAAATATCAAAAATGTTAATTAATTTTATATATTTTCCATTTTATATTTATACTTGAGATTTTATATATATATATATATATATATATATATATATTTCGTTGTATGTCTTGTTCATTTTCTTGTTATATTTAATAACATTTTGTTCATTGGGTAAACTTAGTTTGTTGAATTGACTTTTTCAGTCGTATGTTTTGGTTTGACTGTGCTTATATGTTGGACATACACTTTACTGTTTAGTTCAAACTTTACTTACTCATAATTGTTCCTTCAAATTGACTTGAAACGTCTTTTTATCTCTCTGTTTTTCTCTTTTTTACTAGAAGAGTAAAAAACATGATAAAACCAATTTCTGCTAACACCCCTGTCTCCCTCCCTCCCTCCCTGTAGACGACAGTGTCCCGACGGAGAGGGAACCTGGCGAGGTGGTGGACAGCCTGGTGGGCAAACAGGTGGAGTACGCCAAAGAGGATGGTGGCAAACGATCAGGCATGGTCATCCACCAGGTGGAGGCCAAGCCCTCCGTCTACTTCATCAAGTTTGACGACGACTTCCTCATTTACGTCTACGACCTGGTCAAAACCTCGTAAGACTTAACCCTAACTAACCCTTGTGACAGAAACAAAACGCAGCACATGTTGAAACATCACAAGCCCTTGTTCCTCAGACCATCAAAGAAAACTCACAAAAGGAATTCACACAACAGAAAGAAGACAGGATAGATACTTCCTGAGAATCGGCATTTGTCCGTGAATGTTTCAGATGGGAAAAAAACAAACAGCTCGGTGACATTAAAGACTCTCATCCGGACCTTCATAAACCCTTAAAATATACAAACGTCGGCCACGGTTTTATTACTCTTACAAGGTCCAAAAATTCAGTTTTACTCTAGAAAAATATTTTGAGAGGATACAACTTTGTCGAATCTGAAATTCTAAACAATAATTACCTGACCCCTGAAATGCTTTCATGATTTTGCCAAGAGGTCCGTATGCCTAAAGAAACTGAACCGTCAAATTCATTTTCAGTGTCTGATTTCATCCAGTGGGCTGCTGGTAGAGGAAAAGGTGTCATCGAAAAGTTCGATCGTACTAAAGAACTAATAGATGACATAAGGAATGTGGTTTGGAGCGGCTGGCAGCGTGGAAACATGACGATACTAAAAGTCCTCGAAGATTTGTTGTCACGTTTTCGACTTCAGCAAAGACCGATAATAATAATAATAATAATAATAATAATAATAATTTACTATCTGATAGTTATCTCATAGTTTTGACTTCATCATTGATTTAAAAAAAACAATTTGACTTCTCATAACTTTGTATTAGTTAGTAAAATCTTTTTACTCGAATTATTTAATAATTCTGAATATTTTATTGGCCGTTCCTAACACGTCATCTTTTTCCTCTTGGTCCCAGTTTAACCTCAGTGTTGGACTTGAGATACTTTCTGAAGATTTTGGGAACCTATGGGGCAGAAAAAATAAAAGAATCACACTCAAAAGAAACTTTTAATGTTTCCCAAAGCGTAATATATACGGCCCTTTTGTCCCAATGAAGTGGGCCATCTGTCCCAGCTGTTGTACAGAACCAAACCAAACCGGTTCCTTCATCATGTGCTACAAGCTCATCTCAACAACTCCAGCTGAAATACTCATGAAGAGGGTCAACAGGACCTCATCTGAAGACGTCTGCAGCTGAAAACTGTCACTTTAAAAAAAAAGAAAGAAAGATGGGGACTTTTTTCCTTCTTGCTTTGATCATTGCCAACCCCCCCTTTCCTGTTGTGAACTTGTTTGATGTTGAAGACAATCGGACAGCTTTTTCTCGTGATTTCACGAAAGCCTTTGGATTTGCTCGTGTTGTCTTTTCTAAGTCGTCAGTGAAGGAGTCAAAGGACGGAGAAACAAACTGAAACTCGGCCGAAGCCCTTTCTGTCCTTGGCAGTTTGTTTTAAACACCTGGTTCTCCTGGGATCTCCCTCCATTTGAACCTTGAACACGCTGCTGGATTCTAAATGTCACACTTTGTGGATTTAAGGACCGGGAAACATGATTTAATGCACCTTAAATCTCGGTGGGGCTAAGCATAATAGAATAATATAACCCCAGACAGTTCATCAGTATGTTGGACTTAAAAACAAGAAAAACAAATCCACCATTGAGATGCGGTGAAGATTTCAATCTCAGAGCCATCAGTGGCACCATTGATCAAATTATTACTGAGACAAAAGTATCCCCGTTTGTATTCGCACACAAAGACTATAGACTGTAGAGCCGTCTGAAGAAGCTCCACAGCCTGTATGCAGTAAGAGGACACAGTCGGTCGTGTTCAGTATATATGAAGAGATTACCAATGAAGGGTTACATTTCACTTTTTATACAAATGTACATACTAATTTTATTTGGATTTACACGAGACTGAAGGTTTTCCATGAACGCGTGTTCTGTACGGATTTGAAATTGCAGGTGAAGGGCAAGTGTTGAGCTAAAAATATCAATTCATAAGTTAGAATAGAGCTTTTATTGATATCTCAAACAAAGTAGCCAGACCCATTCTCTGGACTAGAAAAGAATCCTCGTTAATTGAAGCTAAAGAACGTTGAAATTGATGGCCGGTCTGTTCCTTAAAGGATAATTGTGGTTTATTACAGCAGAGCTTCAAACTAAATCTGAATTGTTAATATATTATAATAATGTTTAAGGCGCAGGCAGAGATTTTAATCTAATACACTTTTTGTCAAATTCAGCAAATAATTCAATGCTGAAATAACACCCTCTGGTGTTCATACACCGTGGAAGCCCACATAGTATTATGAGTCCGAGTCAAAATTTAAATGAAAATGCAATAATCAAATTTATATTCATACAGCTGTAAATAGGAAACAAACAAAAACTATTCCAGCCAATCGGCAACAGGACCGTGAAAGGCTGGATGTATAAAGAGGAAGGCAGTGGGGGGGAGAGGGACACGGAATCTGTTAGTAGCATTTATCACTTTTCCAAACAAAGCCGGAAAACATTTAATTTACTGTATAAATCAGACTTCAGTCCTCTGTCACGTTTTTTGGGGTTTGAGAATAATTCTAAATTATTATTACATTACTATAAATAAAAACACCAACAGCTACCAGAGAATGTTTACTGGCATTCTATTTTTAGAAAATAACCCAGTAAAGGTTGATGAGCCATGCAACATCGTTAACCAATCAGACGTCTCGGCCAACTCAAAGTACAGAACAGAGTAAAGTTTGAAAAACCTCCAGCCGGTGTACTTCCTGTGATGTCGTTAGTCACCGAGGCAGAGTACAGCTCTTATTGTAAGACAGACAAACTCCCAGAGATCTGTAGGTTTCTGTAAGTGTAAATCTCTTTTGTTTTTCATTGAAGAGAGATCGTGATCATCTCAAAAGGCACTATTGTTATTTAACGAGATAACATCTGAGACTTGATTTGCAGCGAGGTTATATCCAATTCAGTCGGTTCATTTCAATTTATCGTGGTTCATGTTGTAATGACACAAGCCTTCTGTCATACTTCTGCCTTGTATCTTTTGTTTTTGTATGTTTTAAAATGTATGTTAATAATTTCTATTGTTGATGGAAAACCTGACATGGCGTGCTTTGTTTTCTTTCCAGCATGGTTCTTTTATTCGGGTATTTGACGTCTCAGAGGTCGGATGGGGCTTGTTGTTTTGCTCAAGGGCACTTCAGCAACATGCAGTGGTCACGGATTGAAGCTTATGAAAATCCGTGACCACCAAAAAAGTAAATTAGATCCAGTTTACTTTTCAACTGTTAAATATCAAGCGTAGTACACAATTCATTGATAATCACTTTTAAGGGGTCCTTGTCAAAAATGTTGGTGTTAAAATCGGCTCATGTATCATTATCATCATCTCTGGCAGGAGGATCATGCGATTGGTTACGCTTGTGCGCGAGTCCGTGAGTGATCGTGCACCTCTGTGTCCGTCCAGAGCTGAGCGCACAGTTTGGGTGACCAGTTATGGCTGCATGCTCCAGGACCTTTCTCAAAACACCTCTTACTTCCTGTTTTATGCTGCCATTGACTGCCTTCCTACTCATCACGCACTACTCTTAAACGGCCCCGAGGTACGGTGTGTTTGGCTAAGAGCTAACAGAACTACCAGTACACACACTTCTGGGTAGACAGCTTGGTAATTTTAATTTAGTTTTTGGCAAGATTGTATGAAATGTCTTATACGACGACTTCGGGACGATTGCCTGCATACATCGTCGCATGTTTTTGAGTCTGAATGAAATGTGTTTTAGGACACCTTCCAGCTCATTGTTGTATTCATTCCATCACAGAATACAGCAGTAATGAGTGCACCTTTCTAGTTGTATTTGTTAATATGTTATAATATTGAATATTTGCCTCAAGAATCCAGCATCAGCCAGGCTCTACCCCCAAATCTAAAAGAAAAAAAAACATATAGGCCCTTGAAAGAAGTTCAATATTTTTGGAAAATAAACTGTTTTCTTATATGAAAAAAGTCTGAACCTTTTAGTGACTCCAGAAGGAGCTATGTGAAGTCCAAAATATGTCAAGTCCTTTCCTCAGCGTCGGTTGGGGCTGAAGATTGAAAGTACGGAAATTCAAAACAAAAAAGAAACTCTGAAGGTGTGGAGTTAGAAAGAAGCGAGCTCACCAGACCTCTGGAGCTCCTCATTTCTGCTGCAGGCCAGCGGCTCCAGGCTACGTTAGCTACTTCTGGTATAACACCCTTTCCTTAAAGGGGCCCCGTGAATTCGGTCGTCCCCTACATGCCTCCCCCCAGAATTCACCAACTCCTGAGATTAGTCCCAACCATTAATGTCTCGGGGCCCGGATCAACCGACCAGCCCGACTCCGTGTCTCTGGGGCCGGAAGCAGGACCACTGTTGAAGGCCCCCTCCGGGTCCTGTCGTGCTGAGGTGGGAGGGCATGAGGCCGCCCCCACCGTGGGGGTTCCGCCAACTGTACCGGTTGGTCCAGGTCTAGATGTGCTGGTTTAAGGCGGTCAACCGCTACGTACTCCATGTCGACCTTGCAGGTTTTGTCTCCGGTCTCCAGCACCCGAAACGGCCCAACGTAGGGGGGTTGAAAGGGTCCACGGTGGCCGTCCTGGCGAATGAACACATACTCCGCTGACCTGAGGCTGGACGGGACGTATGACTGCGGAAGGCCTGCTGCGACGTGGGCACTGGTTTGAACAGCCTGGCTTTTTCCAGGAGTGTTTCCCGCTGCTGGGTTGCAGACCAAGGGTCTGTGACTTTGGGGATAAACTCCCCCGGGACCCGCAGTGGCTGTCCATAAACCAGCTCAGCCGATGAAGCTTGCAGATCATCTTTGGGGGCTGTCCTAAGCCCCAACATGACCCACGGAAGCCTGTCCACCCAACTGTTGTCTTTGAGGCTGGCCCGGAGAGCAGCTTTCATCGACCGGTGGAACCACTCGCATAACCCATTAGCCTGCGGGTGGTAGGCGGTAGTGCGGTGGAGCTTCACCCCTAGGCATTCTGTAACTGCATTCCAAAGCTCTGATGTAAACTGTGGGCCTCGGTCCGAGAAAACGTCAGCTGGGGCTCCGAACCTGGTGACCCAAGCCTGAATAAACGCCCGAGCCACCTCATCCGCCGTTGTTGACAACGGGACAGCTTCTGGCCAACGAGTGGTTCGGTCTACCATTGTGAGGAGATGTGTGAAACCACGGGATGGGGGCAAAGGCCCTACCAAGTCCACATTCACGTGATCGAACCTCCTTTCTGGAACCGAGAACTGTGCTAAAGGGGTGTGACGGTGCACCTTGGAGCGCTGGCACACCACACAAGTCCTGGCCCACTTCCGTATATCCTTTTTCAGCCCGTACCAAATGATCTTTGCTGAGACCAACTTCTGAGATGCCCTCTTGCCAGGGTGTGACAGTCCATGAATAGCATTGAAAACCTGTTGTCTCCATACGTCAGAAACAACCGGCCGTGGCTGGCCTGTGGAGATGTCACACAGGAGGGTAACGCCAGTTTCGCCAAACGGGACCTCCTCCAACCGCAGTCCCGTAACTGCCGTCCTCAACTCCTGGACGCCCGGGTCTCTAACTTGACCCTCTGCCATCTTGTTATAGTCCAATCCTAACTGGACAGCCCCGGTGACAGCCCTGGAGAGGCAGTCTGCGACCAGGTTTTCCTTGCCCGCTACATGCTGTAGATCCGTGGTAAACTCTGATATGAAGGAGAGCTGACGCTGCTGGCGTGCAGACCATGGTTCGGCGCTCTTACTCATGGCAAACGTCAGTGGTTTGTGATCCACAAACACAGTGAACGGCCGAGCCTCCAGCAGGAACCGGAAATGCCGAATGGCCAGAAAGAGGCCGAGGAGCTCCCGATCGAAAGTGCTGTATTTCCGCTCATTAGGCCGCAACTGTCGACTGAAGAAAGCAAGCGGTTGCCACGCCCCTTTCACCCACTGCTCGTGCACCGCGCAGTCCGAATCGTCCGTGGTGATGGCAATCGGAGCCTTAGGTGACGGGTGTGCCAGCATTGTTGCGTTTGCCAGAGCCGTTTTCGCATCAACAAACGCAAGTTCCCTCTCTTCAGTCCAGTCCACAGCCTGCTTGATGGCCTTGCCTTTCAGGGCTTCGTACAGGGGCCGCATCACTTGCGCTGCTCGGGGAATAAAGCGATGGTAAAAGTTCACCATGCCTAAAAACTCCTGCAGGGCCCTCACCGTGAGTGGGCGTGTAAAGTTAGTCACTGCCTCCACCTTTGCCGGAAGGGGAACCGCCCTGTCCTTTGTGATGCGGTGACCCAGAAAGTCAATGGTGGTCAACCCAAACTGGCACTTAGCCGGGTTGATGATCAACCCGTGCTGGCTGAGTCGCTCAAATAGAGTCCGGAGGTGAGACCTATGCTCCGCTCTTAACGAACTGGCCTCCAGGATGTCATCCAGGTAGACGAACAGGAAAGGCAGTTCCCTCAGCACTGTGTCCATTAGACGTTGGAACGTCTGCGCTGCATTTTTTTAGGCCAAACGGCATCCTCAAGAACTCAAACAGGCCGAATGGAGTGATCAGTCTTGGGAATGTCCAGCGGGTGAACGGGCACTTGATGGTAACCTCGTACCAGGTCTACTTTCGAAAACACCACGCTATCCGACAAGTGGGTAGAAAAGTCTTGAATATGTGGAACCGGATAGCGGTCCGGGATTGTTGCCTCGTTGAGCCAGCGATAATCTCCACACGGGCGCCACCCGCCCCCAGGCTTCGGGGCCATGTGCAGGGGTGAAGCCCACGGACTGTCGGAGCGGCGAATGATGCCCAGGCGCTCCATGTTTTCAAACTCTGTCTTGGCAATGGTGAGCTTTGCCGGATCTAGGCGCCGGGCCCGGGCATGTACCGGTGGGCCGGTGGTAGAGATGTGATGCTCCACCCCATGCTTGACCGTGGAGGAGAATGTGGGCTGCGAGAGGTCTGGGAACTCGGCCAGCAGACGCAGAAACTAATCAGCCGCTGCAAGCATGCTAGTCAACCTGGTAGAGCCCGCTCCACTTAATGTACATGGGTAAGAACAAAAAGTCACAGCATTTATCAGGCGCGGCCCTTGACGTCCACCAATAGCCCATAAGCGCATAGGAAATCCGCGCCAAGCAGGGGAATGGCAATTTTGGCAGTAACAAAGTCCCAGCTGAAACACTGCCCCATAAAACACAGCTCCAGGCACCGTGTCCCAAAAGTGCGTATGGGGGTACCGTTCGCGGCTTCCAGAGGGGTTCCCTGCCTGCTTGCCAGCATGTCCACCCGCGATGCAGGCACAACGCTCCTCTGTGCCCCCGTGTCGCAGAGAAAGCGCCGCCCGGAAATGTCGTCCCGGCTGAACAGCAGCCTGCCTTCCCACCCGACGCTCACGGCAGTCACTGAGCGCCGGCCCTGGCATTTCCCGTCCTGCCTAAACTGCATGGTGGACGTCACCTTGTAGCCCGCGGCCCAAACCTTGCGTGGTAATAGCACAGACCGGTAGATCCCTGCCGTTGGCTCGCTGCTGCTGCGGCGACGATCGTTGTCTCCCCCTGGCCACGCCGTGGCTTGGGCCGGCCTCAACGCGGCCGTGTAGCTTTGTTGGCCAGCCAGAAAGAAGTTATCGGCCTCCTCGGCCAACTCCCGACAATCGGTAATCCTGGTGTTGGCCAAAGTGGCCCGCACCTGCAGCGGGAGCTGCTGCAGAAAAAGTTCAGGAAACAGAAACTCCGGCTCGTGTTTACCTAGCAGAGTTAACATTTTGTCCATTAGCTCTGACGGCTTGCTGTCGCCGAGGCCATTCAGAGCAAACAACAGGCGAGCCCGCTCAGAGTCCGAAAGCCCGAAAATGTTCAACAGCCGGTCTTTCAAGGTATCGTACTTGTCCCTCTCTGGAGGATTTTCAAGAATGCTCACTCTGTCTGCTGTCGAACTGCCGAGAGCCGTCACGACATAATATCTTGTCGCGTCCACTGTAATGTCTGAGGGCGAACTGCGCCTCAGTTTGAGCGAACCA